CCGGAAATCCTCTCCATTTTCTTTGTCCTCGTCATCCTTGCGACACTCTCACTCTCCTCTTCTCTTCCCTTCCTTCATCACATCAAAATCATCATCATCATGTCTTCCCCAGTTCTCCAAGAGGCTGCGCGGATTGCCCGCCAGTTTGACTACCCCGCCGACGAGGTGCGTCGCGGTGTAACAGAATACGTGCGCGAGATGGACGAGGGCTTGTCGCAGGAGCACACCACTCTCAGCCAGATCCCAACCTTCGTCACCTCTGTACCCAATGGCACAGAAAAGGTAAGAGAATCAGGCGCCTCTTCCCTCCGGATCGATCCGGACCCCGCCAGCTGACCAGACACACGACAGGGATTGTATTTGGCTGTAGACCTTGGCGGAACCAACTTCCGCGTGTGCTCCATTGACCTCCATGGAGACACCACTTTTTCCTTGACCCAGTCTAAGATCATGATTCCTCGGGAGACTATGTCCTCCGGCACCGCCAAGGATCTGTTCCTGTTCTTGGCACGTCAGATCGAGTCGTTCCTGCGCATTCACCACAACGAGCACTTTGAGGCACACATTCGCCGTCGCAACCAGAAGAAGGACAACTGCGAGGAGGAACTCTTCGACCTGGGTTTCACCTTCAGTTTCCCCGTTCGTCAGCTGGGCATCAACAAGGGTACTCTGATCCGCTGGACCAAGGGCTTTGACATCCCCGATGCCGTGGGTCAGGATGTCTGCGCGTTGCTGCAGTGCGCCATTGATGAGCTGGATCTCCCCGTGCGTGTGGCCGCCCTGGTCAACGACACCGTGGGAACCTTGATGGCTCGCTCTTACACCTCCCCTGGTGCCACGGGTACTTTCCTCGGCGCCATCTTCGGCACGGGCACCAACGGAGCCTATGTCGAGAAGCTCGACCGCATCACCAAAATGCAGACCATCGAACACTCTTCGTACGACAAATCTACCGGGGAGATGATCATCAACGCCGAATGGGGTAGCTTCGACAACCACCTCAGCGTCCTCCCCAACACCGTTTATGACCAGCAGCTGGACGCGGACAGCAACAACCCTGGCATTCAGATGTTCGAGAAGCGCGTCTCGGGTATGTTCTTGGGTGAGATCCTGCGCCGTGTCATGCTGGACATGCACGGCAACGAGTCCCTGGGTTTCCTCAAGTCTAGCGCATCGTCGACTGTCTCGGTTCCTAAGGAGTCGTCCCTCTTCCGCCAGTGGGGCATTGACACTAGCTTGTTGAGCTTGGTGGAGGCCGACAAGACCGAGAACCTGGATCAGATCAAGACGGCCCTGAAGGATCACCTGAAGATCGAGAACCCCAGCAACGACGATTGCAAAGCCATCCAGACTGTGGTACATGCTATTGGTAAGCGTGCCGCTCGTCTGGCTGCCGTGCCTCTGGCGGCTGTTCTCCACTCCACTGGCAAGCTGCAGTCGGAGGATCTGGTGGATATTGGTGTGGATGGCAGTCTGGTGGAGTTCTACCCCAATTTCGAGGGTCACATGCGGGATGCGCTCCGCGAGGTCCCCGAGGTTGGCGAGGCTGGTAACAAGAAGATCCGCATTGGTATCTCCAAGGATGGCAGTGGTGTGGGTGCTGCTCTGATCGCTCTCGTCGCCAGCAAAGAGGATGCCAAGAAGCCCAACACCAGCGGCCTGCGTGGCCAGTGAGGGAGGAGCATCCGATGTTTTTGGTGATTTTTCAATGTTGCTTCAACAATTGTTGGATTGAGCGGCCTTTTGCTAGGATATCAGGCATTGACGTCGAGTCTGGACTCGGACCCGCAAGGGCAATGGCTGAAAATCCGCATGGATCAGGTGTTGGCAGAGCGGCTGGGAAGTAGGGCGGTGCTGGATACACTATCATGTTTTACGGCGTTGCACAACTGTTTGATTGGCACATCTTGTGAATATATCCTAGGTTTACTGGTTGGGAATAACAAATAAGCTCTACCTTTCTTGCTAGTACGGTGGTCCTCTGTAAGGTTTGGCTGTGCTCCGTTGATCAGGCCGCAATAGTTTGGGGGTAGGGATATCCCTTCGTCCAGATGGAAACATTGTGATCAAGCCCGCATGGGAGTTTTGTGGGCATGACCCTCCAGGCTGAGGAAGAGCGAAGAGCCTCTCAGCTTGACAGCCTCATCTTCGCATGACTGGCTGATGGGGATGTATTCACTCGACTACAGGCCTGTCTTGTCTTGGGGGAATGATTGCTCTTCTATGCCCGGACCGCGGAAGTAGATATCCGCCCGAATGTCCGAACGACACCACCACAGAAGACACGGACGGCGATGCCATGCAGCTGGTTATGACTCTTCATAGCCTGTGTGACCCATCCCAATCCCACCTGTCACTGCATGCGTTCAGCCCCGATTCCTTGCCTCTTCCAGTCCAGGCCACGCCAGGCCAGAGGGTGTGGGTGGTGAGCTGGTCCGGGACCATACAAAAGAAGACCTCTGGAAATGGACACGAGCATGCAGCAGGGATGGGCACCACAGTCAGCATGGGTTACAGTCATTGCTCCCTGGCCGTCGTGTCGGCAGTGGATGGATTCATTCCTTTTGATGACGACAAACGCCGTCAGGGTGGAAAGGAAGGGAAGGGAAGAGGGAAAAAGGGAAAAAGGGAAAAGGTCCGGTGGTACAGCCGGTTCCTAATTCGGGAGGGACTTTGTTCTGCCTGTTGGCCTGCTGGGGGATTATGGCAGTGATCTCGTCTGGCCAGTTCCTTTCTTTCCATTCGATTGACATTGCCTGTGTTTGTACTGCACTGTTTGCTTTGCTTCCCTCAACACATTCGTTGTTCTCCCGGCACCGTCTCTCATTCACCTCACTGTGAATTCGATTTATCGGTCCATGCTAAGCCAAGAATCGTCTACATCTTGCTGGTGATATCGTGACTCTATTCGACGGATATCACAGAGAGGGCGTGTGTGTTCTTGTTCTTCCAGGGACCATGTCTCGCCAAACGTCGTCGATCGAGTTGACTCCTCCGCGTAACAGAAGAGAGATGAGAAAGGCTGCTTCAAGCCGGATGCAATCCACTGATCGCGACAGTACTCCTGCACACTCGTCCCGCGGAGCGTCTTCCCATTCTCAGATCCACGAGCCGCTGAATGAGGCCAAGTCAACAAGCTCGCGTCATGGTGATGACGCGGCTGGTTCGGAGCCAGAATATCCTACTTCGTGGAAGCTTGCCCTGATTCTCATCGGGCTTTCCATCTCTTTGTTCTGTATTGCGTTGGTAAGTGTTCTTATCAGACGGAAGCTTACATGTGGAGCTACCCTGACTCTCTTCTCGTGTCAAGGACAATACGATCCTGGCCACGGCCATCCCCAAGATCACCGATCAGTTCCACTCCCTGGACGACGTGGGTTGGTACGGCAGTGCCTACCTCTTGACGACATGTGCACTCACCCTGATCTTCGGCAAGCTGTACACATTCTACTCGACGAAGTGGGTGTATCTGATTGCTCTCGCGATCTTCGAGGTCGGGTCGTTGGTCTGCGCGTTGGCCCCGAATTCGGTGGCGTTGATCATCGGCCGAGCCGTTGCTGGGGTCGGATCAGCCGGTCTCTTCTCCGGGGCCATGCTGATTGTTGCCCAAACAGCGCCGCTGGAACGCAGACCGGTTTACGCTAGCACGCTGGCCGGGATGTACGGCGTGGCTAGTGTGGCCGGGCCGCTCATGGGGGGCGCGTTCACCGATCACCTCAGCTGGCGGTGGTGCTTCTACATCAATCTGCCCATCGGTGGGCTGACCATCCTGTTTATCCTGATGTTCTTCAAGGCGCCCAGGTCGGTCAAGAGCACGTACGGATTCCGGGACCAGGTGGCTCAGCTAGATCTCCCGGGCACGTTCTTCTTTCTCCCGGGCGTCATCTGCATGCTCCTGGCATTGCAGTGGGGTGGTACCATCTACGCATGGAACAATGGCCGCATCATCGCGCTGTTCATTCTGTCCGGATTACTCATTCTGTGCTTCATCGGGACGCAAATCTGGGGTAAGGACAAGGCCACCATCCCACCGAGACTGATCAAGAATCAGAACGTCTGGGGCGGGGCGGTTTTCACCTTCTGTATGGGCGGCTCGTTTTTCACCCTCGTCTACTACGTGAGTGAACCAGCCCTTCTCTCTTTTCTCCCTGCCATGTCCGTGACAGGTGACGAGCCCGCATCTAACTCCTTGCGAATAGCTCCCGATCTGGTTCCAGGCAATCAAAGGCGTATCGGCGACCAAGTCCGGCATCATGAACCTCCCCATGCTGCTGGGTGTCGTCGTGTTCGCCATGGTAGCCGGAGTCCTGATCTCGGTGTTTGGGTACTACACGCCATTCCTGCTGGCATCGCCGGTGTTCGTGGCCATCGGCGGGGGCCTGCTCAGCACGCTGGAGCCGGACTCGAAGGCGGCCCACTGGATCGGCTACCAGATCATCATCGGGATCGGGGCGGGCATCGGGCTGCAGCAGCCGATGCTGGTGTGCCAGGCCGCGCTCGGCCCGGCCGACGTGCCCAGCGCCACGGCCATCGTCGTGTTCACCCAGACGCTGGGCGGCGCGATTTTTGTCTCGGTGGCCCAGAACGTGTTCCAGAACCAGCTGCGCGAGAACCTGGGGCATATCCCGGGGCTGGACGTGCGGCAGGTGATGGGCGCCGGGGCGACCATGCTACGCCACGTCGTGCCGGAGAGTACGCTACCGCAGGCGTTGGAGGCGTACAACTCGGCCATCATGCAGACGTTCTATGTGGCCGTGGCGATGGGGGCGCTGGCGCTGGTGGGGGCGTTGCCCATCGAATGGCTGTCCGTCAAGGGACGACGGATTGAGCGGACGGCCGCTTGATGGCGTGTCCAGTGGAAGTGGTGGTTCTGCAGCCTCGCAAAAGTGTAACCTCTTTTATAATACCTGGGGACTGGGTTTCAGATTGCTACATGTATGTAGATTTATCTTTTTCGGGTGGCAGCTCGGGAATACCATACAGCGGCGGGGCGATGTATTGTAATATGCTAATATGATCAGATGAACGCGAAGCATTATTAGTTAGTCTATGGTTGTGACGACTCAAAGCATCTATCCTGGCCGAATAGCCCCAAGCACATCACATAGGAATAACAGACGAGCACTATCCAACAAGCCAATGAGCTAGGGCTGAATTAAACCACCGCATACAAACTCAAATACACGCCCCAGATCACCCCACAGGCACTCCCAAACACTACGCGCCGATCGACCGGAATGACCGTGTACATGAGCACCGAGACCAGCGGGCGGTACTTGAGCCGCGCCATCATGATCGGCCGGAAGTCCTGTTGACCCTTGCGTATCAGCATCGCCATCGTCATCGGCATCGCCCCAACACCTAACCCACCCCCATCCCCCTTCACCCACCACCACCACCACCAGGATAAGAGAAAACATACCTCCCGCAGCAACCCCCAACACCCGGACAAACCCACCCCCTTCAGCAGATTGATCAACACCACAAACAACACGATATTCATCACCGACCCCACCGTCTGATCCAGCAGGAACTTGGCGAGGAAGTTCCGGACCCCGGGGTTGCTGTTGCTGCTGTTGTTGGTCGTACCCCCCTGCGGGTAGGATCTCCATCTCCCCGCATCCTTCTTCTTCTTCTTCTTTTCTCGGTCCTTACCCTGGATATCCTCAGGGGGGATGCCAATGCTGATGCATACCTCCCCTTTGGGTGGTGGTGCTGGACTGGGCTTGCCATCACGCCGCAGCGTGCTGCTGGGGGTCGTGGTGGTTGGGGTCGCCGTGAGCGACGACGACCACCCCCACCGCCGCCAGGCGGGGAACCCCGGGAAGCGGGATTCGAGGCGCCGTTGCCACAGGAAGTTGGGGAGAACGCTGAGGAGGCCGTAGATGAGGAATTGGAGGAGGGCGGTGGGGTTGAGGTGGAAGGGTTTCTAGAGGGACAGTACAATTAGGGGGAGTTTGGTGGGGTGGGGGTTGGGAGTTTTGGGGGGATGGGGAGAGGGGGAGGGGGTTGGTTGGGGGTCGTGGATGCAGAGGGAGGGTCCTGTTTGTGTTTCTTGGTTTGGGGGGCTGGGGGGTGAGGGTCTGTCTGTGTCTTGGGTTGTGATGGTTGTGGGCTGGGTTGGGGGGATTTGTGTGGAGGGGAGAAGGGATAGGCTTGGGAGGTTTGGGGACGACACTATAGGGAGGGGCAGGGGAGAAGCTAGATCTTGGGGTTGAGTAAGGTCTGCTTTTCGGAACGGTGTATAGTGTGTCCTGTGGACATGATGGGAAGAGAATGTGCCGGGTTGCGTGAGGTGCCCGTAAGGTATACAGATTACCCGTTTCGGTAATCGATGTATACATCCATGATCCATAAGGTTAGGGTACCATACCCCCTCCCGCAGTGGACTCGGACTCGGAGACTCGGGATGATCCGGAAAATCACTGGCCCCAAGGCCCCAAAGGCCCAAGGGTTCACCATTCGACACGGCAGGGCAGGGCAGGGCACGGCACGGCAGAGGCGGGGAAACTCAGACCCCAAAGAAACAAATACATCAGTAGAAGTAAAGGACCCTCTCTCTCATCCACTTACCCACACCAATCCCCCTTCCCCCCTACCCTCAAACCATTCCCCCCAAATTCCCCCCCATGTCCCCATTCCCCATTCCCCATTCCTCCCCCCCAGATCATGTTAGTCATGTTTAACATAATTTGGGGAAAGAGGAGGACACCGTGTATTCTTTCTTGTATATATGGTGTTGGTGTTGGTGTTTTTTTTTCTATACATGCACAGGACATTGGGGGAGATACTGAATCAGCAAAAAGAAATCAAGCTACGTACACCGCGGTGGTACTGATCTATAACCTGGGCGAGGAGATTGGCAATCGCATTCAGGAAGGTCGATTGTATGAAGGTCGTGGTCAGCGCCGAAGGGGGCATTGCGATCTGATGATAATCAATGAAAGATAGAAGCACAACACTAGGAAACGAAAGTTAAGGAGAGTCTGAGGATCGAGGAATAGAAAGTAAACGAATGACTGTTTTCTTGACATGTATGTAGGAAGGAGAGGGAGAGTAATGTAGGAGAAACGAAGGGCTGTCTGTCTCGCTGCCTGGGGATGGCGGCACGTGTCCGGCACGTGTCCTTCCGATAGCGTCGATTTCCCCTACTATCGGCCCTGCAACCAGCTTCCACTGTGCATTGTACGGTTGGATCTGAATTTAGGGACTTATGTACAGTACTTGGATGGTCCTCAATTTACATCAGCTTGGCTACGTACGCACTCGTACAGTCACATTGGGCCCTTCTTTCGCGCTGGTGAAGTGATCCACCAGCGCCAAGTGGCCCTCGGCGTCCTCCCCGCGGTGGTCGGCCAGCTCCAGATCGAAGAGGAAGATCAGCCGTGCAATCGTCAGTCGCATCTCCATGAACGCCATGCTCTTGCCGATGCAGCCGCGCGGGCCGATGCTGAACGGGCAGAACGCACGTCGCGCGACCTCGACGTCTTCTTTACTCGTCTCCCAGCACTCGAACTCCGTCTGACATGTCGCGCCCTCGATCCAGCGCTCCGGCAGGTACGCCCCCGGTTGACGGTAGTACGCAGCCTGGCGGTGGATGGAGAAGGTCGGCGTCCCGCAATCCGTCCCCTCAGGCAGGAAGACCCCGTCCACCATGGCGCCGCCCTCCATCACCTCGCGGGGAGGCGCCCCGGGCACGGCGGGAGCCAGCCGCAGCGCCTCGTCCAGACAAGCTTTCAAGTACACCAGCTCGTTGAGCTGGCTGCCCGACACAATGTCCTCGACGGAGGTAAACGCCCCGCGGACCTCGTTCTTTAGCCGCTCCATCGCATGCGGGTTGCGCACCAGGTAGAACACCGTGGCCGAGAGGGTGGTCGACGTCGTGTCGCTGCCCGCGATCATCAGGACGTTGGCCTCGCCCCAGAGCTCCGGGGTGGTCAGCCCCTGTCCGGACTCCGGGTCCCGGGCGTTCAGCAGGTAGTAGAAGAAATCGCGTTTGGCGTCGTGGCCCGCCTGGGTCCGCTCCTGGGCGCGCTTCGTGGCCTCGACGCGGGAGTTCATGATGAAGTTCCAGCGGTCGTTGGTCAACCGATGAATGAAGATCTGGTCCAGGTGCCATCGATCGAGGGGCATCCACAGACCACACTAGGATTGATTCCAGCATGTCAGCCAAACCACCGAGAAAACACACAACAAGAAGTATAGGGCACACTCACAACATAATGCCGATTGGCCGCGCGATCCACCAACTCCACCAACCTCCGCCGACTACTCTCGATCAACATATCGAAGCTCTTCCCAAAACACAACTCGCCCATCACATCATACGTGAGATAACTAAACCACCGGCCCAGATCCTGCACCACGGGGGGTCCGTCCTGCTTCTCCTGCACACCCGTCGAAGACTGCTGCAGTTGCTGCGACTGCAGCCCCCTCACCAGCCCACTACACAGCTGCCGCACATGCAGGAGCATGACATCCTCCATACTCTTCAGCGCATGGTCGGCGAACGCCTGGCTCAGCACGCGGCGCTTGCGGCCGTGGGCCGTCTTGTCGATGACGTTGTGCGTGTTGTACACGCCCTTGATGGCGGGAAACGCGTTGTAGAAGTCGGCCTTCTTGAGGCGCTTCCCGTGGCCGTAGATGTCGTGCAGCCCCTGCGCGGTGTTGACGGACACGAAGTTGGGCGCCACCCGCACGTGGCTGCCGTACTGCGCGTGCAGCGCGTGCAGCCAGAGGTGGCGGTCGCCGCGGAGGCCGTGGTAGAGCTGGACCCAGGGGGTCAGCGAGGCGAGGAGGGGGCCCGGGATGTGGCGAAGTGGGTGGAGGTAGCGGTTGTAGAGGGTGTAGAGGAGGGTCTGCTTTGCCTTCCTTTTAGTGCTGTACTTGTGGGGTGGTGCTGGAGAGACACAAGACAGGGCGAATCTGAGGATAGGATCGTAAAACTTACCAACGCTGCGAGTATCCCAAGCACGCCCCAGGCGATTCCGCCCAGGGAGATGGCGTCCCAGCTCAGCTGGCTTAGCATTTTGCGTGTGCCCTGGTGCCTTGGGACTGATGGAAACTCAAGAGTTTGTCTGTCGTTCAGAAAGAGTGGGAGAAAGAAAGAAGGGGGGAAACAAGTATTAATAGTTCCGAGTGCGTATCAGCACCCTCCAGCCAGTCCTACACTCACTCACTCACTCACTCACTCGTGTCGCTGCTGCTGATACCGACTGTAGATACGATTCCCCCTCCGTAAAAGGTAAGTGGTGGTCGATGCCCAGTGTAAACTAAATCCTGGCCGAATCTACCCGCTCCGAACCGAGCTTGTATACTACGTCCACTGCCAAGTCAGGTCCAGTGAACTTCCCCGCAAACGTCACTTCCCGCTCTCGGGTTCGTGATGTCTCAAGTAGAACTAGAAAGTGAAGACAAGACACCGCAGAAGTGGGGGAGCAAACTGATAGAGATGCAGATGCTAAAACGGATGGAGCATAGCCTATATATCGACCTGAATTAATAATGCCTTGGTTTCTCGGTTACTTGCGGGCGTTTACGCAGCAGAGTGACGGACTGAGTGACTGACTGGCTGACTGTGTTCCATGGTCCACGGTCCATCACCCCTCTTCCAGTTTGAGCTATTGGCGTCATGATCCAGCGGAGCAGCGTTCTGGTACTGTACTGTACTTTTGTAGGGGCGGGGAGCTCTGGAGGTGGGGATCGGATCGGGGCTGGATTGTTGGTGGTGGTGGTGGTGGTGGTCAGCTAGTTGTTGGCGATGTTTTTCATTATTCCGTGGGGTGTATAGAAGTATAGAAATAATGGGGATGCGGCATATGTCTGATGTGTAACGTCTGACAGGCTATAGGATCTTATTGATTGATAGGATTACTGGGTATCGCCCTTCCGAACACGAGCTCTGTCTCCATTGCAGTACGAGACTCTCCTCCAAGTTCAAATTAATACGGGGTCTGGCTTTGATTGTCCCCACCGAAGGATACGATGCCCCCCTAGCTTGAGAGATACGTGGTGTAGTGTGGTTTTGCTGGGGTGTATACTACCAGCGAAGATGCACTTAGATACTATGCAAGGGGAACATTGCGTCTGGACAGACCAACACACTCACTGCGTCCAAAAAGGAACTACACGGTGACGCCAGAATCTCTCCGCCTCCACTAGATCACGTATACCCATGCGCCCCGCCGTCCAGAATCCATTGCTCGTTATCATCGTTGTCATCCTGTACCCGCCGCCAGGTTGGCTGGCGCTCCTTGCGCGCCGTCTCGGGCTGCTTACCGTCGGCGGTCTTCCACACCGGCCGCAGCAGCCCGCCGGCCGCCAGCAGCGGATTGTTGCTAAACGCGTGGCCGCCACCGCGGCTCCCACGATCGGCCTCATCTCCCAGCTGTGCATTGTCGTCGCCATCCTCCGCCTTCGCCTCCTCCTCCTCCTCCTCCTCCTCCTCTGCTGCGGCCTTCGACGACCCCCTCGCTTCCGCGGCAGACTGATACACCCGCGTCACTCGACCACCCTTGATATCCAGACTCATAATCGTCTTCTTCTTCTCCCACTCCGGGCGGGCCTTCTCCTCCATCTCCCGCATGATCCGCTGCTGCTTCTTGAGGGCCAACGCCCGCTGTGCGGGGGTCATCCACAGCGTCGACGCGACATTGGGGGTCTCAAAGTCGGCCGCCTCGTCCACCACCCGCGTGCGCTTGGCGTTCTGCGCCTGGAACTGCAGCAGCTTGTCGCGATGCGCGCGGGCCGCATCCAGTCTATGGTTGTTGCTACTGCCCGGCGTACTGCCCGGTCCCAGCCCCGGGCCCCCATCCCGGTGTTGGACGCCCTCATTGTGGGCCCGCATCTTCTCCTGGCCCCGCTCCGCGCGCAGCTCCCGGATCATGCTCTGCACCTCATCGCTCGACAGCAGCGGCGTCCCGCAGAACGAGCACGGCTGCAGCCCCTCCAGCGCGCAGATGATCTTCCCGCAGTTCAGGCAGTTCGGCGCCGGGTCGAAGAGCGGGTGGATGCTGGCGTAGCACGTGCATTTCCGGGCCCCCGGGCCCAGCGTCGGGTTCGTGGAGACCTCCAGCGCGGCGATCGCGGCTGTCAGGTCGGTGATGTTCGTCGTCGTCAGGGCGCCGCCGCTTTTGGCTGATGAGGAGGAGCCTCCTCCGCCTGCATTCGCGGCGCCGCGCCCCGTCGACTTGGCCGCTTTCGACTTCACGTTAGGCAGGAGATCCGAGATGACGGGCCCCGCGGCTGAGGGTGGGGCTTTGTTGTTGTTGTTGCTGCTGCTTGTTGTGGTTGTAGGCCGGGGAGGGGCGGGCGACTGGTTGCGCGACGAGGTAGCGGATGATCCTTGAGAAGATGTGACCGGTAGATTTCGTAGACCAAGCGACGACTTCGCATCCGGTCGACCCCGGCCTGACATCGAGACAGGCATGTAATCCTCATTTTGATCCTCCTTCCTGTATCCGCCGGTCACGTCGCCGAAGTTCTCGGGCCGGCGCACGGGGCCGGCGCTGTGGAGCGGTGGTTTTGACTTCTTGCCTTTGCGGCCTGAGCTGCTGCTGGTGTTTCTGGGAGGTGCGGAGGATGCGCCGGAGGGGGCGGGGGCGGGTGTCGGTGCCGGGGAGGACGTGGCGGAGCGCTGCGGCGGCGGGGCTGAACGGCGGGAGCTGAAGGCAGCGATGAATTCGAACGCGGCCGGCGAGTCGCCCAGCAGGTTCTTGAGGTGGTCGGCCCCTTCTTCCTTGGAGAGGCTGGCGGCGTAGTCGATGATCTGGGTGAGCGATTCCTGGTCCAACGGAAGGAGCTCCGCCAGCCGGGGAACGCCCCATGCGACAAGGCCGGTGTTGCTCATAGTAATTCGGCAATGGGTGCGTAAGGGTGAGATTATAGTAGCGTCTAGATCTGAGATACCCTACTCCTCAAGCCGGACGGTAATGAAGATAGAGTAGGTCACAAAGTGAGTAGTTGGCGGGGGTCAATGATCGAGAAATGACGGTGGGGTGTTATCGACAATGGTCGATAAGCGGTTGGTTTGTGGCCACATCTTTCAGGCAACCCTCCATGCTTACGGAGTAGATTTAGACCAGAAACACTTTCGAGATCTTTTCATTCGTGAGTCCATTGCCGTTGCATCATACGACTGACTAATTACAAAGCAAGCAGAAACTCATTTTCGGAATGAACTTCTGTTTTTTTGCTAGGTGATCAACTATTGTAAACGGACCATATCCCAGGAGTATGATCAATCCCAGCACCTAACCCTAGAGCTAACAGATCAAAGAAAAAACCGAAGGGGTATACATAACTTGTCGCTAGCTAAAAACACAGATACAAATGACCATCATCGATTCTCGACCTGATTCATCGAAGTCTTCTTGGGGACAAACGACGTCGACGACAGCTTCGATCTTCTTTTGTCGTCCCGTAGTCGCAGCCCTCTGCTCAGTCCTCCACCCAGGCCTTTTGCAAGGGATGCAAAAGGCGAGACGCTCTGCGATCGATCCGCTTCTTCCCCATGTTGAGCACTATTAGGTGCCGCAGCGTGTTCACCGGAAGTCTTCGTGGAGACTGCCCCATCAGACTTCTTGCTTCTATGCCGATGCTGAGTGTTTTCCCGCTCCTGGGGACTCGTTAGGTCTGTGGTTACGTCCCAGGGTGAAGCGGGATCTATGTCGATGAAATCGGAGCATTTGCAGCCGCAGCCGCTTGGACAGTATCGGTACTCATCTTGCTCGGCGTGATTATCGGAATGAGTATCTGCGGATGCCATTGAGAACCAGCCTCGATGGCAATCAAAGCAGCTGACATGGCCGCAGCCGAGACAGGGAATAAGCATTCCGTCGACAACCTCGCCGCAGATAATACACGGCAACTTCAGAGCAAGTGACTGTTTTGGTTTGCAGTTGGGGCACGTGACGGTGGATGTCGCTGTCCCCTTCATGTGACTCCTAGAAGCCAACGCTTCTACGGCAGCCTTTGTGGCGAAGATTGAATGTTGTAGTGCCTGTCCACACTTGTTGCAATGACGTTGAATGTCCAGGCCTTGGTTCTCCCCATCAATATGCACCGTGGTTGCGCCCCGATGCTTTGAGATGGGGAAAGAGAATGAATCATGGTGGCCATTGGCGTTTTGGCGAGGAACATGCAGGTCCTTGAGAGAACTACCTACACCGCCAATTTTGAGAACCTCACTGCGCTGCACGGGCAATGCCCAGATTGAAAGTAGGTGGGCGTATGCTGCTCGATATGAATGGTATAGACCTTCCTTCTTTGGGTCAAGAAACGTGTTCTGTGAGCTACCGCTGTCGAAGGCATTCTGGTTCTTGAATGTTGTTTGCAGTTTCGCCCGGGGTTTTGCAGGCGACGGTCGCTCACTTTCCGTGTCGGAATGGGTCTGTGAAGTTAGCGCGGTAGAGGTAGTCAGATAGTCCGGAATCGCAGAAGCAGGTTTTGCCGCAAGAGCACTAGTAACCCACATACCGGATCCACCGGTCGTGTGTAGGCTGCCACTTGGACTTTGCTTCTTCTTCGACAATGCGGTGGCCGGAGGAGACGCTGAAGAGGGCCCAAAGGTGAAAGACCGGGAAAGGGAAGAGGCAAGAACAGAACCAAGCCCCGATGCACTCCGAGGCTGCGACTGTTGATCAGGAGAGGCTGCTATTGATACATTTTGACTCCAAGTTTTACGGTCTGCCGGTAGGGCAGCAACCCGAGAGTTCAGGGGAGGGGTTGTTCCCGTGGAATAAGGAGGAGTGGAATCAACACGCCAAATTTCGGAGGATGAGCGTCCGGAACTGTGTGTGATGGGAGTCGTATGGCTGTCTTTTGGTGTGGTGGCAAGGGGAGTCGCGGTATGTGATTTGTTTTGTATCACTGTATGTGGAGGGTAAAAGTCGAACGAGAATGACTGCTCTTCCATGCGCTTAGAGACACTCCTACTGTGATGAGCCTTCTCCCTCGCTGATGTCTCTTCATTGTTTGGCTCGTGCAGGACACATGATAGCATCGCGATCATCTGCACATCGCCGATTCTTTCGAAGTGATCAAATAGAGATGGGATGAGCCAGTGGCTACCAAAAGGGTGATCGCCCCATCTTATTGACGGGGCTTGTGACCCCTTCGAGCTCCTACTATGGCTCTTCGCGTCATAAGTAAGGTCAATAGCACTGTCTTTTCGCTGAATGCGCGGCAGCCTTCCTAGTTGATCAAGACTAGAGGCAAGCATCGATGATTTCCGGTTGTGAAGAATGAGCCTTAGGAGTCCCCAGATTCGAGCTAGCTCGTTGTACCCGTGATCGAGAGCAACGGCAGAATTGTGTGCACATACATCCGTGGCTTTGCCGCAGATGCGATATCCGACAGCCAATTCGCGTTTTGCCGGTAGCATATCACTGAAGTCGTGGATCGATATCACGTTCTGAGGCGGATCAGACGATTTCGTGGTTAATGCTCCAGCTGTGGACCTCTGGGAGTTATCTGTAGAACGTGGTCTATAAATCCCCAGACTGCCACCACTCCTCCATGTTTGAGGAGTCGGGAATCGGTGCTGCAGCCCTGATAGGATCCCCGAGGACCCGGAAGAGCTGGAGCTCTCCGCGTCCGAGTCATCAGAATACTCCGATGCACCATCATCAGTGCTAGCAATCGTAGCAGAAGGCCGCGGGCCAGGCGAGCTCGTCTGCAATCGGCCAAAGCCTTCAAAAACTTTGTCGGCTCTCGATAGCCTGGACATCTCTCTCAAGCCTAGGTTCTCCATCCATTCTGCCGATTTATCATTCTTTGAGGGAAAGAAACACACCAAGCGGCCATCATTTGCCCACAACGCGCCGCACCCCTTGGCCACAGGAACCATAACGTTGGCATTGACTGGACGAAGTAGTTCCGAGCTCATGCCTAAGTCCTGGCTCTGGGATAGCCCGACTTCGTCTTCGTCGCTTGACTCCTCTCCCTCAAGCTGGCCATTGATTGGGGATTTGACAGTCTCAGCTGTTTCTCCAAGCCATGCCATACTTTCCTCTAGTGTGCTTTCGCCCAACAGATAACGGAGAACCCCCTCCAAGCAGCCTCGCTTGTGAGTCAAATAGGTGTCTGCTATCTTCCGAGTTTCTGCCACGAGCTTGTCGGCAAGCTCATCGGTAACCGCGGCAGTCTTCTGTACGTTGAATATAGGAATGGAGGCCCGGGGGTAATCGCTTGGAAACTTGATGTCAACTTTCAAGAAAAGAGAGTCGCCATCAGCACCCCACGGGCCGTTGAGGGATATCATCGCTTTCCTTTGCCTGACATCGACGGATTCAAAAGATACCTTGGTAAACTTCTCTCCGACGTGAGTGATCTCATCACCCAGTGTTTCGATATCCCAGCCAGAGATCTTCACGCCGCGCATCCATGCGATAGGGTTGGTGTCGGCTCGAACGTTCGTCCGCCCCTGCATGCCTATCCTGGAGTCCGGGTTGCCTCCACCTTGTGTCCAGCCGCGCGCATAAGGGATAGAGATCGTATTCAGCCCCTTGTTGCGGGAGGTTTGTGGCGTGGCGCTTTGTTGGGTCTTCGGCGAGAGGGACCCTGTGTCTTCATCATCTTGGTCGGCGTTCGTATCCCGAAAGGACTTGTAGACCGCACCTTTACGGGTAAGATTAAAGTTAGAGATAAACGACTTTCCTTTCTCGTAGCCCACTCGTTGTAAGATATCCGGGTCAACCCTGTGCAATCGGAGTTCTCGATCGGTGCCCCATGAGACGAGCTGGAAATCTCTATGATCAATCCCATCAGCTATACCCCCACGAGCTCTCCATAGGAACTCCTTCACTTGACCTTTATGTCCCGGGAAGCTGTGAACCAACGGAAGATCCTCGCCGGGATTGGCACCCTCTCCGAGTCTGCGACTGTACAAGTGAAGATCACTGTTACCTCTCTGCGGCATGGCCAAGACACCCCAACCGAACGGGGTGTTTCGTGCGCGCCACACCGGGAACGGTGCCCGGATGAGCTTCTCAGGAACCTCGGTATTGACTGTGTAATCCCAGAACTTGATCGTCCGATCAAGAGAGCAAGTCGTCAGAGCGCCAGGTCGTACTCTATTCCAATCGAGGCCGTAGATCTTCGTGTCATGTGCTTGAATGGATGTGATCGGGTACGCGCCCATCCGTTTGTCCCAGATCCGCAGAAACTTGTCATGCGAGCTCGCGATCACATTAGGGTCCTGTCGATTCCACTTCACCTGTGTTGCGCCGGCAAACCAGTCGGAGAATGAGATGGCGGGCCTCGAGGTGATGCGCAAATCCCAGCAGTGGACAAAACTATCAACAGCACAGGTAGCCAACATGTCCGGATGATGTGCCGAGAAGTTGATGTCGGTGATCGCCCGCGTGTGAGCGTGCAGTACATGCTCAATTGAACTCTCCGCAGTCTTCATTCCCAGGTTCCAGACCAGTGCTTTCTGATTCGATGTGCTGACGACCCAGTAGTCTCGGGCCGCGAATGGCGACCATTGGACATCCGCGACCTCCCACGGTGTGTGATGAGGCAGGTACCGGGGCGGAGAGTAAGGCGAGTCCAGATCGATAACGTGCAGACCCTCCTTGGAAGCCAGCACCACATCCCGTCCACATGGCGATATGGACATAGACCCAACAGGTTGCTCCACATGGAATGAACTGTCCTCGCCGAATGTTGGACTTTCATACGCCGACGTCGGTGGCCTGGGCTCACTGGTGTCCGTCATGATTCCGTCGTCTGGCCAGGCCGTCGGAAGCTCCGTCCTCGTTGCGTTGCGTGTCGCCTGCTATCCTCACCCTGGAAAAGTAACGAATTCAAGAAGGAATGCGAGCATGCAATATGTGATTGTGTGCGTTTGAGCGTGTTAGTCTCATGTCGTATTTTCCCTCACATAAAGGGCCGGTCAGTTGCGAATAATGGACAATTGGGAGGAAGTAGTAGCGCGCATTGAGCGAGTATGGAGCTGGTCGACGTTCGAGGCTTCGCATGCAATTAACATGCGGGGCCCTGAGAGAGGTGTTGAGCTAGAGATAGCTGAACAAGCGCGCTGTTAGCCAGTGATCTCATCAATGAAGGTAGCCCGACTCACAAACAAGCCTACCTCGAGCAAGCGCATCTGCCCCAAAGGAGTCGAGACACTGACGGCGCTCAGTCGCAGCTCCACAAGTCTGGGCCCGGGGGGAATCCGGACTTTCCATTTCGGGTCAAGGCACCTGCACGGATGGCGTTCCGGGCAACCCGTGCATATTGCGGTGGGTGACAGATACCCGAGATGCAGTGCCCCTCTGTCGGGTTACGTCGATTCAGATTAGTTTCCGGAAGAGGATCACATATAGACAACTGAAGCTGTTGGTCTTTCTTTTCTGTTTCCTTCTTCTCGATAAACAGCTCACAGGTCGACTGTTGTTTTTCTTTTTTGTCGTTTTGCCTTCCCTTTTCCTCTTTGGTGTAGGATCTTGATTTGTCACTCTCCAGACAGGCCAAAAGCAGAGAAACCGTAAGCCCCACCTTCGAGTACTTGAAGGCGCTAGGAACCCAAGGGTCTGGGTGTATACTAAAGTTCATTCCAATCTACAGGTCCAAGATGGCGTTGCCGAAGAGAATCATCAAGGAAACTGAGCGCCTGATGGCGGAGCCGTAAGTCGAGTCTGTCTCGAGTCCTCGTCACCTGAACGACTGGCTAACGCCTCTCCATCCGCAGGGTTCCCGGCATCAACGCTGTCCCGCACGAAGATAACTTGCGCTACTTCGATGTCTCGATCCACGGACCTGCACAGTCGCCGTACGAAGGTATATCGTCTGGAAATCTACGAGACATAGCCCGGTTGGCCGCTAACCACTCGCTTTCAAAGGCGGCATCTTCCGTCTCGAACTGTTCTTGCCCGAGGACTACCCCATGACTCCCCCGAAGATCCGCTTCTTGACGAAGATCTACCACCCCAACATCGACCGGCTGGGACGGATCTGCTTGGACGTGCTCAAAAGTATGTCCTTCGCGGAACGTATGCCACGGGGAAAGGAACTAACCACCAAACTAGACAACTGGTCTCCCGCTTTACAAATCCGCACGATCCTACTCTCAATCCAGGCCTTGCTGGGTGCCCCGAACCCCGACGACCCGCTCGCCAACGACGTTGCTCAACGCTGGAAGGAGGATGAGCCGGCTGCCATACAGACCGCGAAAGAGTGGACTAGAACCCACGCCATGACTTAGATGCATGCGGTTCAATTCTTGGGAACGGGGGAGAAGAGGGAAAGAAAAGGAGCTTGGTGGTAGCCTCTACCCCAGGTTGCCTGCCATTGACACAAACACCGTAGGCGCAACAAAACGTCTGTGACGTGACCCATGAGACCTCAAAGAAGAAAAAGCAGAGAAGAAAAGCACCTCTCGTTCTTTTTTCCTTACGATCCCCTCCGATATTCTTCCCGCGTCAGTCTTTACAACTACCTCACTTGCGGCTCTGCCGGGCGAGAGAGACAAGCCAACATTGCACATGAGGGATGGCAGCTCTGCACCGCTGGGTCCTACTTTCTCTCACTCGTGTAGATGGCAGCAAAGGCTATCCCTCATATCTGGTACATCTTGGTGCTGGTCCTGTGGTTTTCTCTTTTTGTTCTTTTGCTCTCTTCGGGAATGTAGTTAGTTCCGCTTAGCCATAGTCGTCCTGATGGGGCGCTTTCGCATGGATAGATAGCAATGTACATATGATCTCCAATCTCGCTTCGTGCCAACTCATCCTAAGTATCGGAATAGTTTTGCCTCGCGGCCTGTATGTCAGGAATCTGAGATGTAGACTGAGAATACTCCCGCCGTGGGCTTGACTATATGAGCTGAGAGTTAGTGGTTCGGTCTTGATGAAGGGTCCACTGCAGCAGGAAAGAAGAAAGATATGTGCCAACTTATGTAGTTGCAGGGGGATAGCTGCATATGCAAACAACAACCACCCTCAGGCTTTGTTAAAGGCTCTACTTCATCAAGCTGGTATTGGCTGGTCATGTTACACCGCACCTGGCTTGCATTCGGTCGCCTATAAAGAACATCACACGGGCCAATGATAACACTTCACCACAGCCAACCTGATGCCTGATTCTAACTCATTCACTCCAGCATCGAACTTCTCGTTTCAGTTCCTAGCGTAACCATGTATAAAGTCACGGGACCTTGTAGTGATAGTAGCCTTAATATCAAGATCAACAGTTGCTCGCTCTTGAAGCTGCCAACTGCATCATCGCCCCCTGATATGACTTCTGACACGCTTCACCCACCAGCCATGATTCCAACCATTAAACAAGTTCTCAACCCTTTCATCCCAGGAACCGCGGTCTTCAAGCTGCCGGGACTGCGTAATAGGACCAGAGACGCCTCAACGAGGAATAGGTAACAAACCCCCTTCATCAAATCACAGCGTTTTAGTGAGTCGGTGGTAACAGTCAACAAAAGCACGCAGGCCCCGCACGCAGCCCCGCGTGTGGTGACGATTGAGGACCTAGATCACCTGTTTCCCACCCTGGAGGACTACCAGCGCAGACGACGTCGTAAGGAGAAAGAACCCGGCCGCCCTCTCGTCGAAGATCATTACGAGCATCCTGCGTTGGAATACTACGAGAACCTACGCTTCCCCGAACAGGCCGTCACCCACGCTGGGCCTACTGACTACAAGATGGATCTCAACAAGGAAGACTCCGTTGCTGAAAAAGAGAGCGACCAGAAGTCGGTCTCTGAGTGGTCTATGCTTTCGATGACCAAGGAGAGTAAGTTGTTCTGTCTGCTTGTCTTCTTTGCTTGTGTTGTGGCTCGCCTAACGGCAGCTCATGCTTGGGCGTATAAACAGAAACCGGTGACTCTAAGACCGCGAGCGACGACAAGCACAACTCCAAGAAGCATGGGCAGCCTAGTGACGGCAGCAAGAAGAAGCAGGCCATGTCTAACGAGAATGAGAGCAACATGTCTCTGGAGTCCGCGGTCTTGGTCAACGCCCTGGGCAACCAGAGCACCGACAGCCTCGCCGCTAGTATTGGGACTCAGAGCAGTGCGAGTTTCGGTGATACATCTGGTGGTGAGTGTTCTCTCCCCTCCCTGGTGCTGGCTGTGTTATTGTAAACAATTTCACAACACCATGCCAGGTGAGAGCTGGGTGAGAAAAGCTGACCTTGTGAGCAGATATCGGCGATGACGATGTCCCTGTCTACATGCGCCTGGACTTCTGGGATCGTGGCACTATCATTGAGGAGACCGAGGAGCAGCTCGTCTCACACATCGAGAAAGAAGTCGTCCTGAGCGTGAGGGACGACGCATCTTTCTTGGGCAATTCCAAGGCCTCTCCCAATCTTAGTGCCACGAACGTTGTTCCCAGCGAGCGGTCTGAAGAGTCACGCTTGAGCGGTTCCATGGCCTCTCCTAATCTTGGTGCCGCGAACCTTGGGTCCGCCGAGCAGTCTAAAGAGTCGCGCTTGAGCGGTTCTATGGCCACTCTCAGTTTTGGTGCTTCGATCATTGTGCCCAGTGCGCAGTCTGAAGGGGCACGTTTGAGCTCTTCCACTGCCTCTCTCGGTCTTGATTCCTGGAACATTGTATCCGACGTGCAATCTAAAGGGTCACGCTTGAGCTTTACCGCCGGCTCTCTTACTCCGGATTCAACAACTCCCCTTTTACGCAAGGAGCCCGTGGAGAAGACTCAGTCCGCTGACCAGTCTGAAGGGTCACGCTCAAGCTTCACCTTTATCTCTCTTACTCCCAATTCATCGACCCCCCTTTTGTGCAAGGAGCCCGCGGAGAAGCCTCAGTCCACTGGCCAGTCTGAAGCGTCCCGCATGAGCTTCACCCTTGTCTCTCTCTCTCCAAATTCATCGACCCCCGTTTTGCGCGAGGAGAAGCACCCAGAGGAGCCCCAGTCCGCCGGCCACTCTTCCGTGAATCTTCCTGGAAGCAGTGCCACCGCTTCCATACACGGCCAGAACCAGAGCAAAGGCGAAGACACGGGTGAAGACAAGGGTGAAGACAAGGGCGACGACAAAGGCGACGACGCTGAGGGCGACGCCGAAAAGCCCAAGGCGACCCCACCCGTGGCACGCAAGCCTTACAAGGACCCGGTAAGAGGCCTACCTCCTCCTGCCCCGATTGACCCAACCCATGAGCAACTAACGCAAGGAATAGACTCTCTGGGTGCGCGGCTTTACCGGCACTCTTCTCAAAGGCGCCGCGCCTGGAAAACCCGCAAGACCCGACGACAGCCGCTCCTGGGATTGTAAGATCCTGTGGTGCATCGAGTGTCGCGGGCCGTGCCCCATCTGCGGGAAGCCCTGCTGCGTCCGCTGGGGTTGCGATGAGTACCTGCACCAGCCCATCGCGGATCGCCAGTGGTTGAAGTCGCGTCGCTGCTTCATGGTCAACACCCTGCTGGACCGTTACGGGAACCTGACCAGGGACCACTCGACCTACACGGTGTGCACCGAGCCCGGCGGTTGCGGACGTTATGTCTGCTCCAACTGCTGCGGTATCTGTTCCACTCCGATGTGTCGCGACATCCAGTGCAAGGTAAGTGGATATTCCCTTTAGGGAGTTTTCAGCAGGGGAGGCGAGAGTTGGCACGGGGTGAGCAACATGCTAACTACTGTTATCGTATCTAGGACTGCAAGCCCAACCCTTGGGGCCCCTGTGACTGGCATGAGGCATGAATAGGCGCAACCGTTTTTGCTTTGGCCAAAGGCTAGCTATCGATCGGCATGTTGCTTGATGTATCGTGATCATGACGTTCCGGTTACGGATGGATAAGTGTGAAACAGACGGGAATGGATAGACAAGTGAGCCGGCATCATTTTGAAATTCGGTCCTGTTAGATGAACCCTTGCTGTATGTGACTTGGAGAAGCCATGTATCATCCTAACGATACAAATCCTGGTGTGTACGATGACGCTCATAAGAGGCGGGATTTGATTTCATATTCCTCTGTCACATAGTCTCAGACACGAAAACCATAATGATAATGGAAATTTATGAATCTGAGCAAGAACTACTGAAGTTGTGCAGTCTTCGAAAAGAGAAACATAATTCATTAATGCAGTAACCGAACAACTACGAAGTAGATTGCCCTGCCCCCGCGCGCCAATCCCCCATACAATACCAAGTGATCTATAACTTAACAGTTGGAGAAGGGCGGGAAGGCGGACAGCAGCTGCCAGCCAAGGGCAGGGGCGGTCACGTGGTAGGGTTTAGCGAGGCTCCCGCACCGCACCACCACAATTGTGTCAGTCTCGCCCGAACAGCCTCGCCGCAGAGACCGCTTCGACTCAACCACCCAACGCCAACCGACAACAGACCGGCTGCGCATCTCAGACGATCAAGATGCGTACCTACGACGATTCTTTCTCCGGCCAGAAGATCTACCCTGGAAAGGTGCGTTTTGATCGCTCCCCTCCCCCCTCGACATGAAGCAGGGTTATCCGACAGCCCCCGTGACGAAATTCACCAAAGAAATCGCCAACATATTGAGATGGAAGGACAAAGATTGTTGACTTTTTTTTTGTTTGTGGAACAAATAGGGTAAGCTGTACGTCCGTGGCGACAGCAAGATCTTCCGCTTCCAGAATGGAAAGTCCGAGTCCCTCTTCCTCCAGCGCAAGAACCCTCGCCGTATCGCCTGGACTGTCCTCTACCGTCGCCAGCACAAGAAGGGTATCTCTGAAGTCAGTAACCACCGCCGTCTTTTTGCATTTCGCGCTTGAAGAACAAAAAGGTTCTCTGTGTGTTTTCTTGGGTCGTCTCTTCTGCCTGTGGGAATGTGAGGATCAGATGGGGGTTAGAAATGTGGTCGGGAACAACGGCTTCGAACAGCGACTAGAGTTTTGATGGGGAATTCGGATCACTATTCAAGTCGACTCGTTCATCACCAATTCCACCTGACGCGACAATATATACACCGAGACGGAAGAAAAGAAAGGCTACATCAACATTCCTCAGGCAGGAGATTGCGACTCGAGACACAAGAGACCATAGTTTGATACATCGTGGGTGGGAACAAATTGCTGACGGGGCATTTTTGTCGCCTGAATACAGGAAGTTGCCAAGAAGCGTACCCGCCGTGCCGTCAAGCACCAGCGTGCCATCGTCGGTGCCTCCCTCGACGTGATCAAGGAGCGCCGCGCTCAGCGCCCCGAGGCCCGTGCCGCCGCCCGCCAGCAGGCCATCAAGGACGCCAAGGAGAAGAAGGCTGCCTCCGAGGCCCGCAAGAAGGCTGAGAAGGCCAAGAACGCCGCCGCCGGCAAGGGTACCCAGCGCATCCAGAGCAAGCAGGGTGCTAAGGGTTCCGCCCCCAAGGTCGCCGCCAAGTCCCGTTAAAATCCTAAACTAGAATGTGACTTGAAAATGAAGAAGCGGTTTGGCTTGGGTTGTGAAACTGGGGGAGCACAAGGGATATCATGAAATCTTGGGAGGTTTTTCCGGAGCTGGAATTTACGTTTTCCTTCAATCAACAAATTTTTATTGAAACACAAAATGCGAAATTTCCGGCGCATGAGCGGACAAGGCAGCAAGAACGTTTTCTCCGGTCGACAGCGGTCGGGGAGTCCCGGTTGACATACCCCCTTGGCTCTTCCAGATAGGGTGGTTCTCTCTATCATGTTGCGCCATGGTACTTTTTATAACCCCATAAAAATGGAAAATGGATGTGATATGATGACACTTGCGTTTTTCGATCTCGTTTTTGGAAACTCGAGCTTGTAGATTTCCCACTTCTGACTCCATGACGCTCATGTGATATGGAACCTGGATCTCAGTGGGGTTTGATATTGCTTTCCTGGGATAAGATTGTCGGTGTATTTTGACGTCTCCGGTCCTCTGTTCTCCATAGTTCGGAGATGGCAACTCAACCACATGTTTTCCCATGCAACCTGGATCCAAATCGAACTTTATGTCACTCTACATTATGCGTTTCGCAACGATAGTATTTCACCCTTCTATTCTCCTACAGTCCGGAGATGGAATCTCAACCACATGACCTCCCCGCCTCAGGCATTCCCCCCATGGTCCCTGACAGTAAGTGTCACGGGTGTCCTACCGAGTCCTACAAGCATAATCCTTACTTTGCCCACCAGAACCCCCCCCCCCAAAAAGTTCCCACCGCATTACTACTCAACCCAGACTACAGCCAACATATGATATATGATAAGCCATGCTTCCTCTAGTTCACTGGTTATATAGTATAAGCCCCCGAAACAAAAAACCACCCCATATCATCTACCGCAATCAAGTCCCTCGTATATCCATAACGGGACTTCCATCACGACAAAGGCCTATACTCTAATCCCCAATACCTCCCCCAATAAATTATGTATTGCACCAAAACACAATCCCCCCACCCGCGACTACCCAGGAATGACCCCGAATTCTATACGAAACGCCCGAAGAGAATAGCAACCCCCTTTAACTGAACTAAAAAAAAATTCACACGCCGCCCACACCACCAAGCCTTTCACTAGTAGTAGTGCGCCATCTCCAACCCCGCCCGCTTGAACCCACACTTAAGGTAAAACCCCTCATTCGACTCGGAGCAATCGAGGATCGTCTAGACGTAAGTCAACATTAGCCAAAGTCCCCAGATCCCAAACCCCCAAATATACCCCATGTGGAAGGGCCAGAACCAACCTTATAACACCCGACCTTCTCAGCCACAAAGTCCAGCGCCTGGATGAGCCGCAAGCCCAGCTTCTTGCCCTGCTGGTCCTTGTCGACGGCGATGTCCTCGATGTGGCCGACCATGCCCAGCTGATGGATAAACTTGCGCTCGACGATCAGGCTGCCCGTGCCGACGATGCGGCCCGCCCCGTCGCAGATGACCAGCAGGTAGTACTCGTCGTTGCGGGCGGAGATCCAGTCGTAGCGGGCGTCCCACTGCGCCGCGGTGATGTCGCCGACGGTCGTCAGCACGCGCAGCACGTCCAGGTAGCCGCGCTGGTAGTCGGAGCGGCGCACGGGCCGGATCGTGTAGTTCGCCGGCAGGGCCGCGGTGACCTCCGGGGAGACGAGGGTCGTGGGGAAGAGGAGGGGGTCGGTGGCGTTGTCTTCGTTGGGCGTGCTGGTCTTGACGGCGGCGGCGGGGGGCTGCTGCTGCTGCTGGGGAGCAGCAGCGGAGTTGTTATTGGTGAGGTTCGTCATTGTGTTGAGTGGGAGGGGGTTGTGATGTTGTTGGTGGTTCGATTGGGGGTAATGTGGTATTTAAAAAGGGGATGTTGTTGCTCTGACTTGGGGAAGGGAAATAGCGGGGTTCGTGGTCAGGAACAAGGGGAACGAAACTCCTGAGTGACGGAATGTGTAAGGGAAAAGAGCAGCAACTCCGGAAATGTACACAGCGGCCTGAAAGAGGGACAGGAGGTTCAATTGTACAGAGTGGATGGGATTCTGCAAGTGAAAGAGAAAGAGAAGTGAAGAGAGGACAAGTGCGCGACTCGTATTAAAGATGGCCGCAAAACACAGCCAACCCCAGCCTCAGGGCCCATGGGCTGCCTGAAACACCAATTTATTGATCATCGTTGAGTTATTGCTATTCTGTCCACCCCTGACTACTGCCACCTACATCCATTCGCTTTCAATTCCCTTTCCGACACCGCATGTGGCCCTGATATGGAAATTTTACTCGTTAGCTGTTCGCCTCCCGCAAGAAAAAGGATGTTGCCGCAGTTGCAGTCAGTCTTCGCAATGCAGTCTGCATCCCTGGGGCCTTCCAAAAATAGTAGCAGTTGGCGGCGGACGCGATCCGACCAAATAACCGCACGATCGGGATCCATCATCCATGCCACTTAGTCTTACTGAGTCCGGTAGTTACTCAACCTTCCCCATTTATTCACACTGATCGAAGAAAAAAAAAATAATACAATGAAATTTCCTGGGTGTACATAAATCTGATATGAAAAAAAAAAGGGCAGAGTCTGGGCTTCGCTAGATCGCGTCCCTCCAAACTATTCAAAAAGACCAAATCCCCTCATTCCTGTCATCCAACGCGCCGTCTATGCATCTATTTCTTCTCCTTGGGGCTCAACATCAGCTCGGGACGGACGTACTTGTCGAAGTCCTCCTCGCTCAGAGCCTTGAGCTCCATGGCACTCTGCTTGAGGGTGAGACCCTTCTTGTGGGCGTTCTTGGCGACCTTGGAGGCCATGTCGTAACCAATGACGGGGTTCAGGCAGGTAACGAGCATCAGACTAGAAGTTTAAGTTAGCGAAGGATCAAGTAAACAAACGGCAAGTGAATTCCAGTGCCACGGTGTAACTTACCTCTCGTGGAGGAGAGCGTTGATTCTGGGCTCGTTGGCCTCGAGACCGTGCACCAAGTTCTTCTCGAAGCTCTTCATGCCGTCCGCAAGGATGCGCACGCTGTGGAGCAGGTTGCGGATCATAACGGGCTTGAAGACGTTGAGCTCGAACTGACCGTTCATGCCACCAATAGTGGCAGCGACGTGGTTACCCATGACCTGAGCACAGACCATGGTGAGGGACTCGCACTGGGTGGGGTTGACCTTGCCAGGCATGATGGAAGAGCCGGGCTCGTTCTCCGGAAGAGACAGCTCACCCAGACCGCAACGGGGTCCGGAACCGAGGTAACGGATGTCCTGGGCGATCTTGAAGAGAGAGCCAGCCAGGGTGTTCAAGGAGCCAGAGGCCTCAACGACGGAGTCGTGGGCGGCAAGGACCTCGAACTTGTTGGGGGCAGTGTAGAACTGAGTGCCGGTCATCTTGGTGACCTCGGCGGCGATGGCCTCATCGAAGCCCTTGAAGGTGTTCAGACCGGTTCCGACAGCAGTGCCACCCTGGGCCAGGTAACGGAGGTGAGGGATCGAGGCCTGGACACGCTCGATGTTGCGGTCGAGCTGAGCAACGTAGCCAGAGAACTCCTGGCCGAGAGTAAGAGGGGTGGCATCCTGCAAGTGGGTACGGCCGATCTTGATGATCTTGTCGAACTTCTCGACCTTGACCTGGAGAGCATCACGGAGGCTCTGCAGGGCAGGGAGCAGGGTGTTCTCAAGCTCCACGACGGCAGCGATGTGCATGGCGGTGGGGAAAGAGTCGTTGGAGGAGGCAGACATGTTCACGTGGTCGTTGGGGTGGACGGGCTTCTTGCTGCCCTTCTCACCACCCAGGATTTCGATGGCACGGTTCGAGATGACCTCGTTGGAGTTCATGTTGGATTGGGTACCGGAACCAGTCTGCCAGACAACGAGAGGGAAGTGGTCGTTCAGCTTGCCCTCAGCAACCTCAGCGGCAGCCTGCTTGATGGCCTCACCGACCTTGGGGTCTGTTATGCATGTCAGTGATGCGCTCCTACAGGTATTTCTTACTACAGGTATTTCACGCGGAATGGCAGCTTACCAAGGCCGAACTTCATGTTGACGGTGGCAGCAGCACCCTTCAGGACACCGAAAGCCTTGACGACAGCCTCGGGCATACGATCCTGGGGCTGGTTAATGTCGAAGTTACCCAGAGAACTGTTCCTCCGTCAGTCTTTTGTTCTATTTTCCGTTTCCATTGCCCGTTCTTCGTGGAGATGAGAGCAAGAGACGGAGCTCTTACCGCTGGGTCTGGGCACCCCAGTACTTGTCCGCGGGGACCTAGAGCAGAACACAATCAGACCTCATGATCGCAAGCGCTTCGATTGGAAATGACGGGTTCACATACCTGGATTTCACCGAAGGCATCGGTTTCGGTACGAGTAGCAGAAGACTGAAGAGCCATGGTCGGTCAGCACTGCGCCTTCGTGCATCGGGTCTCACTGATGGGGAAGTTGGAGAGTCCGATATAAGTAGAGAGAGATGTACAGCAGGATGCCATCGCTTCTTACTTATCGTGATCGGTCGGTAGCTGAGGCAGGAAAACTCACCATTCTGACGGTGGTGCCAAAGGCGCGCTTGGAGGAAGTAGAGTTCAAGGACTGAAGGCGGGGGAACTGTTGCATGACCCGGCTATTGGAGGCCAAGAGGCGTCGGCTACTGAGAGCAGCGGGGGAGCGGGCAGCAAAAGCCGCGGCAGCTGCGGGGGAGCTGGAGGAGACCGCGCGTGTCAGGCTGGCCATCGAGCGCACCGCGGCCCGCGAAGTGTTGGAGGAGGTCAACATGACGGGGTTCGGCTTTTGATCTGCTGGTCATTCCAAGTTAGAGTTGATCGGAGAAGCCAATTGCAAGGTCAAGGGAAGCAAGTGATTGCAGCTGGTGCGGGGCGGTGAGGCAGTCATCATACTTGAAAGATAATGCGATAAGGATAGAAGTCTAAGTATACACGCTCAAGAATACCCAAAAATCAAGGGGATGGACGGCCACAGAAAGAAGAAGGGGAAGAAGAAGAGGGTAAAACGAGGTCTTAATGAATGGCCATTCTTTTCCGATACCGCCTGCCGAGCTCTCCCGGCCCGGTACCGTCATTACAGGCGGCAGTTTGTTTTGGTTCCGGTTCTCGGTGCATGATGATGAAGTACAGTGTAATGTATGGAAAAACGACCACCCGGATAAACCATGATCCTCAGATTCTCTCCGCATTTCTCCTACACCGCCAACGGTTGGGGATCCATCATCCATTCTACCGAGTATGCATGACGCAGCAGCTGCTGCTGCTGCACCTATTTCATGGCGACGACCGCCTTCAGTCCTTCAATCACTTTCTCATTGTACACCCGCCCCGATTTCAGTATCCCATCTAGTAGGGCGAAGGTATGGGGTGCTCCCTTCATCTGCATCAACTCCACCGAGCATCCAGCAGCTTTCAGCTTGGCAGCATAAACTTCACCTTCGTCCCGCAGAGGGTCCATTTCAGCAGTGACGACCAATGCAGGCGCCAGCCCAGCAAAATCATGAGCTAGCATTGGGGAGATCTTCCAGTCCTGAAAGCCATGTCAGCATCATGCAAAGTGCACATAGTTGGCTCGGCACCGTTTGACAGTGGCTTACCTCCGATGTTGCTGGCCTTGGGACCCCTAGGAAATGTCTGTGGAAATAGGACATGCGCGCGACTGGCAGTGGCACCGTCGACTCCATCTCCGTGTACGATTCGTACGGGCAGTTGTCCCGATCGAACGTGCCATCCGGCTTGAACGGACTGTGTAGGTCGCACACCGGTACATTCAGCACCTGTAGTCGCAAGGGAATGCCGGCGTCACGGCAGAGATGAGCCATGACGGCTGCCAAATGTCCCCCTGCTGACATCCCTCCGACCGCCATTCGATCGGGATCGATATTGAACTCCTCCGCCTTCGACCGGACCTGCCTTCGTAGTTAGTACTGCAGTCAGAACATTACAATAGGAGGAAGAAGCTGCGGACCCAGTTGAACGCCGTCCAGCAATCATCTACCGGGGTTGGATATTTATGCTCTGGGGCTAGCCTGTAGTCGATATCAAAGGCCACCAGCTGTCCTTCCAGCCCGTCGACAACTGTCTTACAGAAGTCGTGGTCTTGCGAGAGATCGCCAAAAACCCACCCACCGCCGTGGAAATTGATATAAGCCGCCCTCTTCTGGGCCTTCCCATACTCGTCGATCACAGCTTCGGATTCAAAGATGCGCACCTTTATCTCTCCGCCCTGGACGGGGCATTTCTGCTCGGAGATGCGGTGAATATCGGGGCCGCTCGCACGGCCATAGCTGATGATATATTTAGCTGGATTGCGACGGAATTCCTCAATGGGAACCTCATGGGTATGCAGCCTTCCCGCGGCGTATTTGTTGTGGTGCTCAACGTAGACCGGGTCAAATCGCGACAGCAGCTCCGGAGGGATGCTGTTGTGTAGTGGTTGGGTCAACACCTTCGGGCGGATGTCGTGCAAGAGCTTTTCGTCGTTCAGTGAAGCCATGTTGATGGTCGAATAGAAGTAAGCAGTAGAGCTGTATGGGACAGAATGACCCCAAGGGTATCAGTAAGTCGAGTGTAAGATAACCGTTTCCCTTGGGCCAAGTTGGCCGGGTATGGGAACTTCCCCTCACAACCCCTCATCATCGTTATCAAGTAGCGACCGAGTGGATTGGGGTTACCCCGACCAAGCATTGCGCAGAATTCTTATGTATTGTACAGTACTTCGCAGTCCTACTTCATGTCGGGATAAGACACTTTTTTCATTGGCAAGATAAGAACTCCCTGGTGTCCGAAGGCGTCATATAGCCAACAAGCGAGGAATGTATAGTGTTGATTCTAATCTATAGTTACCAGCTCGGCTACAACCGGAGGAGTCCGCGCAGATGACCGGGGTTCTGTCCGCCCTTATCCGACTTGAACCTCACTGTGAGCTCGATTCGACCTATCCAGATTTGAACTCCAATTGAGGATACGCTATCTCAACCCTCCTTCTTACGCAGACAATTGAACTGTAGCAACTGTACAAGTCCAGTTTTGTGCAGTACATGCACTGCTCAGTGCAATGTGGCCAGCCACATGATCCATTCCTGTCATTTTTGTCACCGCCCAGCAACGGACTTTATCGATGGACGACAACAACAATGAATAGTGATATCAATGGCACGGGCTGTTCTAGTCACACGAGTCACAATAGCTTCTTCCTGCGATGAACCACGGTTTCAGGAGACCCTTCACTAAGCGGGTTTTCCCGTCGGTCGATTGTCGTCAGCGGCGAAAGCCAGACAGAAAATTGAAAAAGGAAATAGCCATGCCTAGAAGAACCGAACCGAACGGGCGGATATTTGGCTGGGGATCCACGAGGGCGATATCGGCCAATCCTGCATGCCATGCACAACTGAATATTGACTCATGCATTTGGTCCACCGTCTTTCTCTTGCTGCATTGAGTATCTCGTATGTTGCTCTCCATTTCGAGTCTCCATTCAATACCAGCAAGATCTGATATTCTGCTGTTTAAGAGCGTGCTGCTAGCCTGTCGGTAACCTGTTCGTCACCCGTGTCCCCAGTCCGATCCAACTAAAAATCATACTGCTCCACCCACCGGCAATCCTTAAATTCTAACCCACTGCCCCTTGGGACCCCCCCTCTAAGTTCTAAGGTAGGTGCAGAAGAACTAAGCCCGGACCTGATACACTGACTCGAGCCTGCCTCGCTGACAATCGAAGATACCCTCAACTTACCTCTTTCCTCCCTCACCTCCCACCATGACCGTCCTCGACTTGCATCCGTTGCCGGCGGACGAGATCTTCGCCCTGAACCGCGCATACAACAACGACACCTTCCCGCAGAAGGTCAGCCTGGGCGTTGGCGTGTACCGCACCGACGATGGCAAGCCGTGGCCGCTGCCCGTAGTGCGGCAGGCGGAGCAGCAGCTGCTGGCGGAGGACAACCTGTTCCGGCACGAGTACACGGCGATTGAGGGCGACGTCCCGTTCCTGGAGCTGGCGCGGGACCTGATGTTCGGGTTCGACGCGAAGACGCCGACGGAGCAGCAGACGGCGCAGAAGGCACGCATCGGCTCCGTGCAGGCGGTGGCCGGCACGGGCGCCAACCACCTGGGGGCGCTGTTCCTGGCGCACAAGATGAAGCCGCGGACGGTGTGGCTGTCGGACCCGTCGTGGGCCAACCACCTGACGATCTGGGAGCTGGCCGGGGTGCCGCGGCGCACCTACCCCTACTACAAGGCGGACACGCGCTCCTTCGACTTCGAGGGCATGATGGCGACGCTCGAGGCCAACGCGCAGGCCGGCGACGTCATCCTGCTGCACGCCTGCGCCCACAACCCCACGGGCCTGGACCCCAACCAGGCGCAGTGGAAGGCGATCGCCGACCTGTGCGAGCGCAAGCAGATCTTCCCCTTCTTCGACTCGGCCTACCAGGGATTCGCCTCCGGCTCCGCCGACGAGGACGCCTGGGCCGTGCGCTACTTCCTCAACGAGAAGCCGCACCTCGAGATGTGCGTCGCCCAGAGCTTTTCCAAGAACTTCGGCCTGTATGGCCAGCGCGTCGGCGCCTTCCACTACGTGCTCCCCCAGGGCAGCCAGAACCTTCGCGACCTCGTCGTCAACAACCTCTGTCACATCATCCGCGGCGAGTTCTCCATGGGCCCCGTCGGCGGCTGCACCATCGTCAAGAAGGTCCTCACCAACGACGAGCTGACCGCCCAGTGGCACGACGACCTGAAGGTCATGAGCTCGCGCATCAAGTCCATGCGCCAGGCGCTGTTCAACGAGCTCGTGCGCTTGGAGACCCCCGGAACGTGGAAGCACATCGTCGAGCAGGTAAGTTGCTTCACACAGTCCCCCACCCCCCAAAAATCAGACCAACCCGCCAATCTAACTCCGCTTGCAGAACGGCATGTTCTCCTATACCGGCCTCACCCCGACTCAGGTCGAGGCCCTCAAGGAAAAGTACCACATCTACCTCCTTAAGTCCGGCAGAGCCTCCATCAGTGGCCGTAAGTGATTCCACCTTTTTTTTTCCGGTCGTGGCAGCCTTGACTAATGATCTGTCGTAGTGAGCCAAGGCAACGTTGCCTATGTAGCGCAGGCTATCGACGATATTGTCCGTACAGTCAACTAGAACCTTTGGGGTGATAATTATATATGATGAACAAAAAAACGATTAGAAATGGTGGGGATGGGATGTAGATAGTGGATGAAATCAACCTCCGACAGCCAAGGCCGCTGACAAGTATACTATATATATCATGCGCACTGACAACAACACTGCAGTAGCTTACACGATATATCTACGTGTCGAACTCGTACCTCCCACGTGGGATGTCTACGCCAATTACGTCAGCAGGATAGAAACGAAAGACTTAGTATCACAAAAGAGAAACATAAACTTCCAGGTTACAATGTACAAAGTAATGCCGCATACCGTACAAATTATAGGGTAGGCGGAAAACGGCGCCAACACGAGAAAACCAGGAAGAAGCCACAAACAAACACAATCACAACTACCGGGATAATACCATGCATTCGGCAAAAAAGAAACAGTCATGGTAATGGAGCATGGCTTGGGGGATAAAATAGAGCCGGTTGATTGTTCTTTTTTCTCTATCGGTTATACATCCACAGGCGCTACAAAAAAAAGTCCATTTGAAAATCGTCGCAGTAATGGGTAAAAAGTAAAGGAAGAAAAAAGTAATGAAGAGAATAAAACGCACGAAACAGCCGGAAAATACGGCTTAATGAACAGTAGCAGCAGCAACAACAAACAAAACTATAGTGGAATTTCGTTGAAATCGCCTTCACCTTCCTTGGAATGGCGCTCCTTATCCTCCTCGTCGGTCGATGGTTTGTCCTTGCCCTCCTCTATGTGGTGGTCGGATTGGTCGTCTGCTGTGCTTGCCTGTTCGTCATGGTCGCTGTCGCTGGCCTTAGCGTCCGCGGGCGTCGCTGGCTCCGCCGTAGTGTGCTCTGCTTGGGCGGGTGGCTCGTCCTCAGCGTGTTCGTCTTCCTTCGCTTCTTCCTCGTCGTCTTTGGGGGGTACCGGCGGTGGTGGTGATAGTCGGCCCTCGTCGGAGGAGACCTCCCTCTCTTCCGCCGTTGGCTGACCTGTCATCTCGGCTCCGGGGAATGGGGTAAGTGGTGGGTCCTCGAGCTGCTGCTGTACCTGCAGGGATCCTGAGGGGGCCAGGTTGGATGGCGACGGGGATAGCGACTGGTTCTGGTCCTGGTCTTGATTCGGGCTCGGGCTTGGATTCGGGTTTTGACTGATCTGTGGCTGACCCGTGGCGGCGGTCAGGAGCGACGTCGCGGTCGACGTCGTGCGCTGATGCTGCGTGGAGCCATGAATGGGCCCCAGCTGACGGGCCTTGGGATCCGCGTTCAGATAGTAGCCGCGGACGCTGACGATGGTGCCTTCGGCCTCACAAGCGTCGACCCACTCGGGCACCACCACGGGGATGTTCATCTCAACCGCCTTCTCCCAGAGGGGGCCGCGGCCCTCCGTGCAGACGAAATGCGTGGTGTCGATGCGGACGGTGTCGATCAGTTTCCCGCCGATGCGGTCCAGCGCGGCCGCGAGCGCATCCTTCTGCTGCGGGTGCAGCACGCCCGCCGTGACCGTAATGCCCGACAGATCGGTCATCTTGTGGGTGCGGCAGACGAGCTTCTCCGACTGGTAGGTCCCCGCGGTGGTGCGCAGCACCAGGTGGAAGGTGTACTCGGTGTGGATGGCCAGGCCGCTGATTTTGGTGCTACGTGTCTCGAGCGGGCGGGGGATCGAGCCGGCCTTGGAGCCATTGCGGTAGAGGGAGAGGGATTTCAGCGACGCGGTGGCCAGGTCGATGGGATCCCATTCGAGGACGAGGGAGGTCTGGGTTGCATTGCGGAGGCGGAGGATCGGAGGGGTGGGGGTCTTGATGCCGTAGGTGTTGAGGATGCGTTTCTGCAGCGTCTGGAAGGCGGTTGCGCTGGCGGTTTCGGCGGCGTGGTTGCGCGCGACGGTGATGTCGACGATGCTACCGGATGTAATGTTGTTGGGCAGGAGGACAGAGGGGAATTCGATCTGGGGAGATTGTGATAAGCGAATGAGCATGGAGTAGGTGAGTGGTGCGTTCGGTCGAGAGATGCAAAGGAGCCTCTGTCATCACACAGTGGTCACAATTCTAGTGACAGTCAAAGAGCCACTTACCAATCTGTTGTCTTGAGTCAAGAGGACGGCGACTCCGGCGTCGACCTTCCCGACAGTCAAGGATACCAACATGGCGGATTGAGTGGAGGAGCGCAAGCTGTAAACTGTACCGACTGAGCAACCAGAGAGAGCTCGCAAAATGAATGATTTATGAGGAAACACAAGGGGTATTTTCACTGCACGGGAAAGGAAGTCTCTGTCCAGGCAGTATTGCCGGCGCGATAGCAAGAAAGAGGAGGAAGAGGAGGAGTACGTAAGTCAAGTCAAGTTGGAGGAGATGGAGTGTTATGTTGTGTTTCTCGAAGATCGGCCGGTTAGGAACAAACCAAACCTAAGTTGTCAACAGACCACTCGTTCAGCCGCGACCATACAGCATGCCATGCCATACGAGATGTTTATTTCACTCCGTGTATTTACAGAAGAAAGGGCCATTATCATCTTGAAACAGGGTCAAATTGTGCATTATCTACGCTTATTATCCCATAAGATACGTTGCTTCAAAAAGCCAGTCCCTGCTTTCGGAGCATGAAGCATCACTTTGATTATCCTGTCCACAAACTCTCGCATATCCTTCTCGATGTCCGGAGACTTTGCTGTGATGACCTCTTCCCGAACGGTAAAGTCAATCGATCCTCGTAAACCGGCAATCTGTGTTGCCTCAGCAGCGGGCCTTGGAAAAGAGCTGATCGCTCGGCCGTCCTGATCGTATCCACGATCCGCCAAAGCTTTGCGAAAAGCCACTCTGGACCTTCCCATTGCCCAGGATCGAACGACACTCTTGTATTCTAAAAGCAAACGAAGACCAAATGAGGACCATAGCGTATCGCGAGGCCGATTCTTGTATAGATGAGAGATTTTAACACTTGCAGGGTTGTGCAGAGCTAATTGTTGAGCGGCGATGAAAGGCATCTCGTGTACGACTTGATAACGAATGGTGTATCGTGCCGAGTTGAAGCGGAGCTCTGTCGGCCCTCCAAGCCTCGCTGCGCCCCTGGCCATCGATGCTCAGGTGGATGCCCTTTGTCAGGAGAGTCGGTTCCTACTGACAAGAGTGGGAGAGGAGAATGCAGGCAGATTCTCGAAAGGAAAGGCTGTCAGCACCGGGATAGCACTAATAACCGGGATTAAATCCAATTTATGCCCCAGAAAACAAATAAAGCACTCTGTTGGTAGTATGGCTATGGATGAGGCAGATGGAAGTTCGGAAGCGACGAGCTGGACAGCGACAATTGATGACTTTGGTGCGTCAATCTCATATAGGCTGGTTGTGAGTAAAACAGCGCTGCCAAGTACAGATGCCACAGAGTAGAGAAAGCGTCGGAAAGTAGTCAGTTGTCAAGTTCCATGTTTGCGGGGGGCATAGGTTAGTGATTGATGAAGCTACTCAGTAATTACTTTCTTCCTCAAGGCTCTATCGATAAAGCGACTCGACCATTTCTGCCGGGCGGTCGGCAAACTCCGCTTCTGAATGGTGGCCCTGAGGCAGGCCTTTAAGGCATCAATCAGGCTGCCACGCCACTTCCCCCACTAGTGCTTACATAAGAGGCGGCAGAGCCTGAAAAGCGTCGAAATCATCGTTGTCTCTTTCTGTCTTCCACCCCCACTTTCAACCCTCTGCTGGTCCGTAGGGACGTCCATCTCAACAACACACCCCTTTCGTGTCCGATCATCGGCTATCGCATCGAGTGAAAGACCAACGCGGTTAGCGAGATTGCACCATGCCCAAGAACAAGGGAAAGGTGAGAACATCAATCCCCCATGAACCCCGCTTCACAGATTTTCGCTTCAAGGCTTGCTGGTCGGCACGACTCTTACCACCGGATCCCGCTGCGCCCGAGTGCCTCAGCCGGGTTATGTGGGTGTTCTAGGTGGCGAGGCCTGGCGCTGGTGAAATCCACATTGTGGGATTCTTGTCACAGCCTTGCTACACATGAGGACCTTGTACTAACGTATGTTTTCACTACCAACAGGGCGGTAAGAACCGTCGTCGTGGAAAGAACGAGAACGACAACGAGAAGCGTGAGCTCGTTTTCAAGGAGGAGGGCCAGGAGTACGCGCAGGTTGTGAAGATGCTCGGTAACGGCCGCCTGGAGGCGCTGTGCTTCGACGGCGAGAAGCGCCTGGCACACATCCGTGGCAAGCTTCGGAAGAAGGTCTGGATCAACCAGGGTGATATCATCCTTCTCTCGCTGCGTGACTACCAGGACGAGAAGGGCGACGTCATCATGAAGTACACCGCCGACGAGGCCAGAAGTCTCAAGGCCTACGGCGAATTGCCCGAACACGCCAAGATCAACGAGACCGACACCTACGGCCACGAGGGCTTCGAGGACAACGTCGAGTTCGACGAGGACCGCGAGAGCGAGGAGGAGAAGGAGATCGACGTCGACGAGCTCTAAGCTCGCCTTCTACCCTCTCGTTTCCGATGCATTCATTACCCTCCCCTGCGCGAGGAGAGCTCCCCTGGGATTTACTCTTGTCTCTCTTCTCCGCCACACGTCCTTCATGCTTTTTCCTCTCGACACGTCAAACGTCCTTTTTTTTCAGGAAGGAAAATCCGCCTCGGTTCTCGGTTCCTGCATGTGCTTGCGCCGGAGGGTTCTTTGAAACTGTGGCGGCGGTTGGCCTGGGCCTTGTCTGCCCTACGCCATTCGTCTCTTTTCTCCCCCGGGAAGGTCTCTGGAGGAATGGATGAAGGCAGCAGCGGCGCCTTTTCCCACCCGCTTCGCTACATGCGCTCGCCTCAATCTTGCGTGTGGCCTTTCGCAATATAGGGTATGAATCATCGGCAGGGATCGACCTGCGGGTAATCTCGGTTGGGTCTTCTTGGTTCGCCGGATCATGATCCATCAAGAGAGCTGCCTTCGGGTTGTCTACGGAGGAGTGGGTCGCAATACGTACCGAAAAGAAGACGGGCTGCGTGCGGCCTGGCTTTGTGTGTTGACGATTTTCTTTTTCTGTTCCCTGGTTTTGCCTTCTTCAAAATTCGCTCCTTTGTTTTTCACTTTTGAAAACCTGGATGATGGAGTTATGAAAAGGTTACGAATATTAAAATTTTACTATCAAAGCAAGCTTTATACGACACGTAGACTTGTAGTTCATCCCTTTCATACCGCTCCATCTACACAAATACGACTGATGAAAGACACTGATGATGTACATAATGGTACTGCATGCGTCTTAGCTAATCCTCAAACACGCTCTTCCGGAAGAAACCGACTATCTTGCGGGCAGCCTCGATCCCCACGAGGGGGTCCAGCTGCTCCACACTCATATTCGCGACCTCATGGATGTTCTCTGTTTCCAGGATCAGCCGCTCAAGAACATTGGGGCTCACCCCGGGCACAGCTCGGAGCATGTCCTGAGGCAGGAGATTAAAGGTCCGGTGCTCGATGCCCACCGCGGCCATGATATCGCCCGGGTGGGACGAGGAGGCGATATCCATGTCGAGGCCGATCTGCACGGCGCGGATCGGGTCCGGCTCCGGGTTGTTCTTCTTCAGCTCGGCGAAGATCTCCGCGGTCTGGTAGGGGGAGGAGGACCAAATGATCCGCAGCTTGGGGAACGTCAGGGTGAGGAGCACGAGCAGATGCTGCGCCGACTTGGGGCTGGAGGGGTTGACCAGGGAGCTATTCGCGGAGAGGGTGCTGGTCCCGGAGGATGAGAAGCCGAAGTCCGTCATGAAGGAGGTCCCCGGCGTGGTCGCGGACGCGAAGGCGTCGAAGGTGAAGGACTTGTTCTGGTCGAACTCGATGAGCAGGAAGGGGTTCTTGTAGTGCTGGAGCATCGTCTCCGCCTGGTTGTAGAGACGGCCGTTGCGCAGCGAGGTGATCAGGTCGCGGATGGACTTGCGCTCGACGCAGATGTCCGGCGTGAGGATGTAGTCGCCCACGGTCAGCTGGCAGGGGATCACGATCATGTTGTTGCCGTGCAGGAGGGACGGCAGCGCGCTTCTGAACTCCCGGACGTCGACCACGACCCGCGGAGGTGAGGCCGTTGCGGCGAGTCGCCCGCCTCCTGCGATGCGAGTGTTCACGGTCCGAAGGAACTGCTCCTGGGGGTCCTCCAGGCTTTTATCATGGACGATAGTCACGGCCATGCTCTATAAATCTCGTTAGTAGATGGTGTGTTGAAAGGTGCAAGCGATACGTACGCCCTTCTCCTTGATCAGCTTCGTGAACGAGTCCTTCTCCCGTCGCACGGCACTCAGGTACCGCTGCTCTTCCACCGAACCTCCATAGTAGACAAAATACACGCGCACGTTTCTGCCCACATGAGAGCTCCGGTAGACCTCAACTCGTCGGATGAATGCAGGGTCCGGTTCGTACATGATGATGTACCGTGGACGAACCTCCTCGAGAATGTGCTCGTCCATGTCGCCATCATAAGGGTGTATCATAATCAAATCGTTCATATCATATAGTTCGTAATAGTCATCCATGTCGTCCAAGTCCTCCACAACTATCTCCTCCTTCTGAGTTTCCTCGACTTCTGTAGGCTTTATTTCATCTAAGAGTGCCGTGACTTGGCCCGAAGGTTCCATCTCCACCTGAATGCCGGCATTGGGCGCTCGTCCGGGACCTGCTGCTGCCCCTCCACCACGAACGCGACGTCGTTTGTTCGCGGGTGCTCTGGGATTCACAGTCCCCGGTGCAGGCGTGCTCGTTGCGCCATTGGAGTCTTCATTGGGTGGTTTGGAGGAAAGATTCTTGCTAACGTTGGATAAAGAGGCCTTCCAGTCTAGGTATTCTCGTAGCCTTCGGCGCAACATAACTTCGGCCGAGCCTTTCTTTTCACCCACAGCATCACCGGGGTCAGAGCTCTCCCGCTTCCTGTCCCCGACATGAGCATGCATTGTTGCAAGGTATTCACGAAGCTGACGGCAGGTTCGCTGGTCGCTGCACATAATCAACACGGTGCTGTTTGATTCGTCAACATTTGAGGGATTTAGATATGCATCTGTCTCAATCTCCTCAAGCACTTCTGCCACGACCTCCCACTTCGGCTGTTCTTCTAGAACTGGTTGCAAGGTAGTAGGAAACGAAGTCAATGATGAGCGAGCCACATCACTACTTATTTTGCCTTGATAAACTCTCGCCTTAGCCGTTTGAAATAGCACATCAGCAGCGTCAAGGAAGAGCCAGGGGGAGTAATTGTGCCTTGTAGAGCCGGGAGGCGGAGTATGGGCGGTCACAATAAGATCGAGAAATTTGAGAAACGAAACGGCATCATAGGTAAGCAAGGCACTGATGTTCAGTCAGCGATTGAAAATGGATAGTCGACACGTCCATTGCAGTAGGGGCAGACTTCATAGACTGAAGAAGTGAACATACTGGAGAATGGAACGCAGATCCGACAAGTCGCTGACAATTTGCCTGGTTCTGAAGCTCACCCGATGCCACATCGGGTCAAGCTGGCGCCTGATTGCAATGTCAAAGCTTCGATGCAAAGCACTGTCCAGGGTCCAGTCTGCGATATCAAGCCCAGTATTCGCCTTCTTTAGCTCTCCGATGCAAATTTCCACACACTCAAGGACCGCATTTTGTATGTCCCGCATCTTGTCACTCATTGGTACCTCAAGCTCGATCACCTCGGCTTTTCTATGGCCTTCCAAGGACTCTGCAACTGTGACATGGAAGCGCGGCCATAGCGATGCTTTGCGGAGAAAGAGATTCCGCATGGAAGTAGCCAATGGAGCAAAGCCGGTTGTGAACGGCTCGGGAGAGTCCGAGAACGCTTTGAGGAATCCGGTCTTGTTTGCTTCTCTATATACACGAAGGATAAAAGCTTCGAGGGAAGTCGCAAGAATTCTACACCCCATCAGTATCGGAATGCATTTCGGTAGTTGGTGGCTTACTTGTCGGCATGGAGCACAACCATGCCCGTCACTTTCGAAGGGTCGAGGAGCTCTGGTAAAGGCGTTCAATCAGAGGTCAACACCCTTGCAAGCATACAACGTGTTTTACTTACTGGACAAAAAATCCACCACTAGTATTCTGGATGTCACACTCAGAATACCCCCCGCGGCATATAGCTTCTCTCTGTACAACGTCTAGCACGAAATACAATGAGCGTGGACCGACCGTGACCTACCTCATCGAAACCGTGGCTCTGTCAGTATTGATCACTTTGAGACCCCTGGCCAGAGGCGTTTTACTGATGGCATAGTGTTCCGCAAGCGCTGCAAGCTGTGGTCAGCCACTTTCCGAGGATTGCCGTCATAAATTGGAACTGCAATCAGGCCGCGCACCCTCTCCAATCCACTCATTCTCTCGATCATCAGCACCAACGACCAATACAAGGTTGTTTCCAGCCGCATCATAGAAATGAAGTAGGTTGGTCACTAGCCGGAGGAGGCCGAGGCCTCGAGCAAGAACCACCAATTCATCCTCCGCGCGCAGTTCGGTGAAGATGTCCTGCTGATATTGCTGATTTCCTCCTGTTAGCGAGTCCCTGGCATTTTCAGTCAGAGGAACCAGATATCGGAGCACTTACTAGAGGCAGGGACAGCTTCACCGGGACATTGGCTCGTTCAGGCGGCATGAGAAAACTCTGGACGCGACAGAAGACAGCCTCGCATCGCGCTGTGAGGAGCAAAGTGAACGCGGGGTCACGTGCATCATGATGTAATGATTCCTTTTTGGGACACTCCTGCAACGGGTTGCAGGCAGAAGCAGGGCAGATGAGATATATTAATGCAATATGGTTGATGTGCTACTCCTATGAGAATAAATGACAGGAAAGACTGATAAGGACTATCTATGGGTTTCACAGACTGGTGAAAGTGAAGCACAATGGTATGCAAGTATCATACTGCATTCCGCGCCAGGTGAATATATCCCCGCAGTCGCAACATCAAATAATAATTCATTTATCAAACAACATACGTAATTCTCATGATTAATACACGGTATGAAAGCAGGTCGACCATTTGATATGTCCGGCACATTCACTGGTTCAGCTCCTTCTTACGCGCCTCAATTTCTTCCTTTGTTGCTTTGGGTGGCATGTCTAACGATCAGCAGGGTTAATGAGGAGAACTGTTCAGCAGTAGGAAATCTCCAAACTCACTGTCCGGGATCTGAGGGCCCTTTGACAGGTGATCGAGCATCGAGGCTTTCTTTGTGTCCTGGCCAGGGTCTCTCTGCTCCGAGGAGTTGGAAGGGCTATCGTTGTTACTGCCGTGGGCAGTAGGGAAGCTAGCAGGCTCGGGGATGACAGGCATTGCGATGAGTAACGTGTTTAGCTTGACTTAGTGATGAGTAGATGTATAGTGTGGAGGATAGAGAGCGGCTGGATGATGATTCTGGGGAATTCTTAACAACGGTTGCAGCGAGAGAGGCGGCCAGAGACAAGCGGGCTTTTCTATAGTTGCAGGCCACGCGATGACGTCGGTTGGGCTTCGATAATTCGACTTGATAAGTTGACAATGTAAGCACACTCGCAGCCACATGACCGATTCAGGATTGAAGCGTGCTCACTACAGGAATAAGAAGTTGCCTGGAAACCAAAGTTGATTACATTCTAGTAGTTATTGTCTTCTACTGGACTGTGTCATTTCTGCCTAAGATGGCCTTTGACAAATGCGGCAACATCCCGTCCAGGATAAGGACACAATAAACCGGAGGGTTTCTGACTATGGAAGCGATTTCGATGACAGTTGATGAAATAGAAATGCGGACATACGAACTGCATTCGTGTGAGGAGAACACAAGAGTAATTATCATATCGCCATAGTCAATAGAGTAAGGTAAATACTCGTACGTCGTAGGCCCAGCCCACCGGAATCCCCACTGCGCGCTTCTTTAGTGCCGCCGCCCGCCTAAGCCTCCCTCTTTCTCTCCGCCCAGGCTCCCCTCCCCTCACGTTTCTCTTCTTGCTACTTGACCTCTTTGCCCCCGTCATTTAACCTTGAAGGCAGATTCTCATAGCATCGGTCAGTGTCTCCCTGTGCGCGTCCTTCTGAGTGACCTTCATACCAGAGAATAATTCACATCTTTCGCCGTTCATGCTAACTTCCCACTCAGCCTCCTACAGACTCCGAGGGAATCCAAGCTACCCCCTACTCCCAGTGACATCCGTTACTGCCGCGCCCTATCAGCCAACGGTCGTGCCTGAGGATCAACAACCCTCCTGATCCATTGGGCCTCTAGAATCGCACCAAACCACCTGCGATGCGTCCGCAAGACACTATACAATCGTTCTGATCGCCATTTCAACTCTGCGCGCGCTCAAGTTGTCTAAAACTCCCGGTACATCGCCATGCCTTCTATACTTACCGACGCCGACAAGGAAATTGTCAGGAGGACTGTTCCCAAGCCTGCGAACAAAATCCTTGCTGTAGCTGTTGCGCGCCTCTACGTTGCATATCCGGATCCTCAAAGATGGACTTACACTGGTTTACAAGGTGCTGCCGTGCTGGCAAATGACCTAGTTGGCCGGACCTTCTGGCTTAAGTTGGTGGATGTATCGGTAAGCGCATCCCTGATCCAAGACATATTTGTCTCTTTACTGATCATTCAATTCTCTACGGTGCAGCCTGCGGGAAGGGGAGTTATCTGGGACCAAGAGATCTACGATAATTTCGCATATAACCAGGACCGCACATTCTTCCACACGTTTGAACTCGAAGACTGCCCCGCCGGGTTCTCTTTCGCCGACGAAAAAGAGGCTAAGACCTTCATCAAGAAGGTTCACGAGCGGGAGAAGCATGCGAGCAAAGAGACTCGGTTGACACCTTTTGCGTCGACTCGTGGCCAGGGCCCAGCCCCTGTCGTCAATGGCAAACATGGCGTGGGTCGATCGTTGTTCGGCAGCTTGCTTGGGCATCGCTCGTCGTCCGGGTCTCACGCTCACACGGTTACGCCTGCGGAACTACCACCTGCACCTTCGATTCAGGTCGCTCCCCCGCCGCCCGCCGCTAGCCCGCCACGTAAGGAGTTGCCTTTTGATACTAGCGACCCCGCATGGAAGGGACTGCTAGACGAACTCCTACAGATGGGAATCACGGAGGACCAGATAGCTGAGAATTCCGATTTCATCAAGGCCTATATTGAGCAGAAACAAGGCGCTGCTGGTTCCGACTCTAGTCCATCTCTTGCTGAAGATCAGAGGCGAGGAAAGGCTCCTCCTCCGCCTCCCCCATCTGCACCGCCAGCTCCGAAAGTGGCAGCCCTCAGTCCGCAGAACACTGGAAATAGTGGTGGCAGCAGGCGCGGCGCTCCTCCGCCCCCTCCTCCGTCGCGCAGAACTCGGACTGATGTGGATGACGAACCTGCCACGCCTGTATCAAATCGCGAGCCTTCGCCCCCAAGAAATCGCTTCCGTGCCCCTCCACCGATCGCGGATGCCGGTAAATTTGCCCACATAGCGGCATCCGTGGCCCCTGGTCGTCAGCGAGCAATGTCTAGCACAAACCCAGGCCCTCCTCCTCCCCCGCGGCCTCCAAAGACGCCAATGGAAGAGAATCACTCTCGCTTTGGTGTTCCACCTCCGTTCGAAGGAGTGCGAAAGGTGTCTGCTCCGCCGGCACCACCCAGCCGCAGCCCCTTACCTTCTGCACCTCCGCCGCCGCCTCCGCGCACTATGAGTCCTGCGGCGCCGCCCCAACTACCACCCAAAATCCCCAATGCTGCAGCCCCAGGTCCCCCACCACCTCCTCCAAGAAGTCCGGCTTCAGTACCCCCGCCCCCTCCACCTGTGCCTTCCAGCTCCCGGCCGATTCCACCGCCACCTACGAGTGCTGCTGTTCCGCCGCCCCCTCCCCCACCACCACCATCGTCAAGCGTGCCTCCTCCACCGCCGCCACCACCCCCGTCACACCCTTCATCAAATGCAGCACCTTCGATACCTCCCCCGCCGCCCCCGCCTCCGTCCAGCATGGGTCCGCCTCCCCCTCCGCCGCCGCCACCCGCACCAGGCGGTTTTGCTCCCCCGCCTCCTCCTCCACCTGGATCTGGCGCTCCTCCACCTCCACCCCCTCCTGGGGCTGGCGGTCCTCCGCCCCCACCCCCGCCAGGTGGTGCCGCCCCACCGCTGCCTGCTCCTGATGCAGGTAGGAATGACCTCATGGCTGCTATTCGAGCATCAGGAGGGAAGGGAGGTACTGGCTTGCGGAGGGTCAAAGATTCGGAAAAGAAAGACCGAAGTGGTGCCTTTGTGCCCGGCTCTAGCGAGTCAGCTGCGGCCACACCAAGTACTGGAAGCGCGCCTCAAGGAGGTTTGGCTGGAGCTCTGCAAGACGCCCTGGCTAAGAGAAAGCAGAAAGTCAGCGGTAGCGGTAAGTACATGTCTTCTTTGATATGCGCCTCTTGCGGTATATACAGTGCTGATTTCTATTGACAGATGACGAAAAGGAGGACGATGATGATTGGTGATTGCTGCGTCGTATCTACCTCTCCAATGATTTCTTCTGGCGTTGCAATGCATTGAGCATATTTGTTCGCGCCGGATACCTTTGCTCAATATCGTTTCTTGCTGATTATTGTGCTTGTTGCACAGTTGATCGGTAAGTGTCTTTGCAAGACTGTCCAAGCGCAATGCAGCTAAACTTCCTAATCGGAAGATTGTGGCTTCTTGAACGCATTGCACCACTTTATTCTATAGACAAGAATTCGGACTTTGGTGTCTCGTCTACCGTATTAATACTAGACACGATACGTAGTACTGAGTAGCTGCAGTGGGTACTAGCTGTAGTCCACTGTCACTTCAAGGTTAGCCCATTGTTTACCGTAGTCATAAATATTTCCGTACTGTGACGTCATATCACGAATGGAGTGTCCAATCGGGCGGGAGCCGGGGGTTCTATAGCATTAGGATGGATTGGATGTATGAGTCCCGTCCTGTACAGTCATAACACATCTCAGTCCAACCACTCTGTTCTCGCACTGCTCCAGTCAGAACGAGCAGGCGGGCAGGTTTTCAAGGAAATTCTCATGCTGAGTTCATATCAGAGCCGGCAACCAAAGTGGAGTGACATCCAAAAGAATGTTGCTATGTCAGCTAGGGCACTGGCTCATAAGGCAGATAGCATTTCCCCGAAATAGTCATGAATACAAAGAGCACAAAGCGCAACAAGTATCCGTGTAAGAGACTTAAAAGGCGTTATCACGGATCCCATCTTCCCTAATGAATGAATAGTTCCTTCCAGGCGTTGAGGAATAGGTACGGAGTAGAGAATCTTTATCTCAGATAGGCAACGGATAAGGAGCCGGATCATTATAGGCCCGGAGGCGCGCAACAACTTGGGGAGCGGGAAAAAGATAGTCGAGCCCATCTCCGCCGGTCAGAAACTACCCAAGGATGAGTGGCGGTTGTCTTTGTGGTTCTTGATGAAGTCGTCGCACGCGCCTCAGAAATGCCGTCTCCGTCGTCTCTGAAATCATCAGCCCCGTCGGCGTCTCTCCTCCGGTTTCTGCGCTCTCAGTCCGAGTCGCTTTTTTTCACCACCAACCCAACAGCCTGCGGCCAGACTCGTCCACCGCCTCGTGTGCCTTCACTGCGAAACCTCACCAACAACTGCAATCGAGTTGGAACACCACCATCGCAAGAACCGCTCCAGGCGAGTCTATTACCGCTACCGAGCTTCTCAGTTCGAGGCCGTGGCGGTGCACGATGCCGGACCTCGTTTACTCCATCTCTCGCAACGCCGACGTTTCACGTTCCTAATGCGCAACCATCGCGCCCCATTTCCACCAAAGACCGGCCTCTCTTCCGCAGACTCCTTGATTGGAGGCGGAGCAAGGCTGCGGAAAGCAACAAGTATGCCTGCAGTCCGCCCACATTGATCGGTGACGGCACGGAGCCGGGCTTCACGCTAGGGCGCGGTTTGGCGGCCAAGGCTACCAACGAGCCGCGACTGCGATGCACGGAGTTTGATAGCAACGGAAACGTCACCCTGGTGAACGGAGAGTTCAAGAAGAGTGAGCTGATCGCCAAGGTGAGTGACATGCATGTTATATTGTAATGAGGGGAGGAAACCGCATTAACCGCTGCGTCCAGTATGGCCTTCTCCCACGGGATTTGCGCAAAATCGACTCGTCAACCCTGCCTCACATTCTGGTCCGGCCCAGCGCGATTCTTATCAATCTTCTTCACCTCCGCGTTTTGATCAAGGCCGATCGTGTGCTTGTGTTCGATGCCTACGGCTCAACCGACTCCTACATGCAGTCCCTGTTCGTTTATGATCTGGAGGGTAAGCTGCGGCAAAGACAGGGACAAAGCGCGGGCGCTTTACCTTACGAGTTCCGGGCGCTCGAAGCTGTGTTGATCAGTGTCACAAGTGGCTTGGAGGAGGAGTTCAACGGCGTCAGAGAACCCGTCGTGCGCGTTCTGCGGGCCCTGGAAGAGGATATCGATCGGGAGAAGCTGCGGCACCTGCTGATCTACTCGAAGAAGCTGGGTACTTTTGAGCAGAAGGCTCGACTTGTGCGCGATGCTATCGATGATCTGTTGGAAGCGGACGACGACTTGGCTGCGATGTACCTCACTGAGCGTCAAAAGAATATCGAGCGTGAGGAGGATGATCACCAGGAAGTCGAGATGCTACTGGAATCATATCATAAAGTCTGCGATGAAATTGTCCAGGCTAGCGGCAACTTGGTGACAGGGATTCGCAACACGGAAGAAGTGTGAGTATTACTCGCTATTGAAGTTCGGTTATGGATAAATAGCTAATTGCCTCTGTGTATAGTGTCAAGGCAATTTTGGACGCCAACCGCAATTCCCTCATGCTTCTCGACCTAAAATTCAGCATCGGCACACTCGGACTCGCGACTGGAACTCTTTTCTCCGCACTGTACGGAATGAACTTGAAGAACTTCATCGAGGAGTCGGATCTGGGTTTCGGCGCGGTCTCTGTGACCTGCTTCGCTATTACACTTGTCGTCTGCGTGTATGGGCTGGCCAAGCTGCGTAAGCTACAGCGTGTCAGGATGTGGGGCGAAGACGGCGCAGGCGGCTCGCCTATGGTCCATCTACCAACGAGAGGTGGAGCAATTGGCCATCGGTCAAATTGGCGAGTTGATTCCATTGATCCGGTTTGGGGTAGTCTGCCTGGGGAAGCCCGCTCGGAGAGGTTGAAGCGCATCAGGGACAGTTCAGTTGCAGCAGCTGTCAGGTCCGCCGCGGCGCAGCGCGCATCCTCGGCTCCGACCGCCAATCCTATTTCGAAGGCAGAAGCTCGTGAGCCTAAGGAGGCATAAGTGCTTCGTTCTGCGATCGGTGTATGGCTTGCCATTGTTGTCTCTTATGATAGCCGTGATACGGCGCCAATTCAGCAATGGTGATACCGACGATAGTGAATGTGTGATGTGTCGGTGAAGGCAAGTAATTCCATATAATATCTCTTCGCTCATTGTATAGAAAATGCATGGTCGGAGTTTTTTTCTTGTTTCCACAATACTTTGATCGGACTGTTCGGTTCCTGATTTTTCTCACTCACTGTGTGAGGACTCCCTTCTCAGTCATTTATTTCTTGCAAAGCCGAGCTCAGCATCGACGTCTATAGAATCCTAGAAATGCTTCATAGAATTGTACAGCTCTATTGTATGATATTTCCTCGTAACCCAATCCTCGTATAGGACGCTCTTGTGCAAGTTTCGAGAACACCCCCATCAATGACCGCCACCACGCTGCTTCCCCATCCCAGGACCCTTATTGATCCCTCTGGCTCTCTCTATCCAGATCTTCGCCGCGGCTTTCACGCCTCCCTCTCGCGCACATTCCCGCTGCACAGCAGCCATGACCTTTCCAACCACCTCTTCAGCATTAGCATCAGCATCGCCGACCACCTCCGCCTCATCCTCCCTCTCCCCTCCCCTCCCCCTCCCCCTCCACCGCACCATCGTCCCCCTCCGCCCCCCAACCACAGCCATATTCCTCGTACTGGGGATCCTTAACAACGTCTTCTCAACCTCATACCCCACCTCCTGGGCCACCGCCATCGTCTTCGCCGTCAGCGAACCATACATACTCTTCAGAAACCCGGCCTCCGTCGCCTGCGCATCCTGCCTCTCCTTCCGCAGGGCCTTCAAGTCCCCCGAATCGGGCTGCTGCTGCTGCTGCTGCTCCTCTTGCCCCGTCTTGGCGGAGGTAGACGCACCCTTAGGCGGCGGATACCGGTACTTGGCGCCGGACAGCGCATGCGAGCAGCAGGGGATCGCGACGAACGGGGACGGGTTGGCGGGGCACAGCAGCGCGGCCATCAGGGGCGTCCAGACGGTCAGTTCGTCCGCGTGGTTGGAGATGATGAAGGTGTCTTTGGGGAAGTGGCCGGTGTGCGTTGGGATGTTGAGGTTGAAGGGGTTGTTGGAGCTGGGGCTGGGGCTGGAGGTGGCGATAGGGCCGGAGGGTTCGGTTTCGGGTTCGGGTTCGGGTTCGACGATAGCACCGACTACTGCATCGCTGAAAGGCGCAGGGATGTAGATCTCCTCCTTCAGGCGGCGTTGGATCCACTCCGGGAAGATGCCCCATGTCTTGCGGCGGCGGGCGTCAAAGCCCCAGCCGGAGTAGCCTTCCTGCAGCAGGATGTAGACGAGGACGCCGTTGCCGCAGGCTACGTCTACGAAGCCGGGGAATTCGGCGGGGGTTGGAGGGCTGCGCTCATCCTCCGGGACGATGCCGTACATGCTGCGCCAGAGCTCGATGAGGAAGGCGGCGATGGAGAGGTCCTCGAAGACGTGCTTCGAGGGCTCGGTGGTTTCGACCCATCGCTGACACAGGTCGCTGGCGTATTTGGTCTTCAGGCGCGTGTAGGTGTTCTGCACGAGGTGTTGCGGGAGGATGTTGTCTTTGAGGGGGTTTTTGTTGGCGCCTAGGTGTTTCTGGTTGATGGTTGCGGAGGAGCCTGATGATGATGATGGGGTGGGCAGGTGGGTGGTCCGCGCGAGGCGGATTTGCGTGTTGAGGAGGGCTTGTAGCGTGCGTTCGAGGCGGTTGGTGATGGAGAGGTTGGGGAAGAGGAGCGTGTGTAGGGTTAGGGTTCCTAGGCCTGGGCCTGGGATTGGGGTTCGGGTTGGGGTTGGTTCTTGGGAGGGATGCTCTGTGGTCGTGGGGTTGGGGGTGATGGTGGTCTGGTTGTAGTCGTAGAGATAGGCTAAAGAGCGCAGGGTGGGGTGGTAGTAGGGGATATCCTCCTCCTTGGTGATGTGGGGTGTGTAGATGACCAGGGAGCGTCTGCAGCCTCCTTCAGTTCCAGCCGTCGTCTCTGTCTCTGCTTCGTAGAAGTGACAGGTTTGGTCCAGGGTCCGGTCCAGCTTAGGGTTCCGGGGCACTAGGCGTCGGACGATGGTCCTGGTCAGGGTGAAGCCGGCGACATCGCGCGCGGAGGTAGGCTCAACCTCAGCCTCATCCTCTGCGCCATTGAGACCTCCAGTGGATACGATAGCATCCGCATTAGCATTGCCGGTGAGCGCGAAGGACTGTGCCTTCTCCCGTGGGGTACGCAATATCCCCTCGCTGTCGAAGAGGATATCAGCCCGAAACAGGTGGCTCGAGTTGACGTTGGGGTTGGCCAGCAAGTACAGGGTCAGATCCTGCATCACTTCGGGCACAAACGACAGGCCATGTTCAGTGAGATCCCGAGAGGTCGTCCAGTCTTCTGTCTCGCTGTGCAAGATGGATGATGGCTCCAGGGTCTCTGCCAGTGGCTTCCCCGAGAGCTGAGCTGGGTCTCGGGGTGGCTTGCGCGAGGTTCGGGTCATTGTTGCTCCTCGGCTGCTGCCGTACACACAAGGCTAGATGCAAGAGACAAGCTTGTTCTTGAAATACTTTGTGTTCATTAAGACCTCTCTATCGCTTGTGTGTTCTCCTGCTATCAGATTGATGGGTTTCCATCAACTGTGGAGAATCCTGCCTTGAATATTGATTAGTCATTTGTGTATTCGCACAGTAGTCGGGAAACTTGAATTCTACATAGTACATACTTGTAAGTCAATGGCTGGGACCTAAGACTATGTCAAGACATGCCTGTATCACGATCACAATTTCTTGTCGGCTCAAGCCCCTCCGTCGGGTTCTATCAGATATTGCCCCTCGTAGACACTGCATAAGGAAATGTGACTCGCTTAGTAATGTTCTGCATATCCCAACTGACTCGCCGAATGGAATGTCATGCAGTGCAAATCGGGCCCGAGTTAATCCTTGACCGCCAGGAATACGAGGCATCCGTTGTTCGGCATTCCTTATTGCATCTCTCCCGCTGAGTCAGCCGAGCATCTGCTGCTTGCATCCATCCATGATCCGAGGGCTCCACCCACAATCCGGGATCGAGCATGTCAACTCCTTCTAGACCTCTTCACTTTGATTGTTTTTCATTTGCTCTCAAGAATACCCCCATCAACGCATTCGGCAAGATCGTCTTCCACATCTTGTTTGTTCAAATTTGACCCCTGAACACGGCATATATTCGCCTCGAATGACTAATCTGCAGTTTGCTTTCTGCTTCAACATGTGCCACGCGAAGCGATGATGTTCTTCTTGCTGTTGCGTCATGATCGTCAGCGTCCCGACGAAAACAAACCACTTTCATCAGCCAAGAGAGTCGAAACAATGAACCAGCCGATGAAGGGTCAAAGCCCTCCCGAAGCAAAGACTCTTCCCGTGACCCCGGCAGAGAGAGAGCTTCGCAGTCGATCTTCGTGTGCGTACTCGTGTCTTGCGGGGTTCGCGACACAATCATGACGTCTGCACGTTCGAGCTAGTCTAAATTAAACCTGACGCGGTTGGTAGAAGGCTAGTAACCTACTAGCAGACTGCGTATCACGCCACAGTTGTCCATCCTATCTACTCAGTGGTCAGCCTGCATCTTCGGTCAGCCGCTTCTATCTTGCTTTTCCCTTATCTTCTCCCATCGGTGTGTCTTTAGGTGCGGCGCGGGCAATAGCCGCTAAATATACACTGATTACAGACGAGTGGGTTTATCGATGTTGTGAAAGATTCGCGGGCCATAGCAGCAGCCATCAACATTCTCTAGTACTTCAAGGACCCCTCTTCAAAGTACGTACCCTTGTCCAACCATGGCACTAGAGGTAACATGACAGGTCAAACGCGGGACTTCGCGGGACTGATGTTATGTTTGTATCAGCGTATCACCCGACTGCTTTTCTAGCTCTTATCCCAATTGTACGGGAAAAGTGTATGGCTACGATGTATCGTGTGCAACACTACAGCTACTTCAAGAGCCGCAGTAGCAGCTGACGTCCAGCATTCAAATCAGCGGAGAGCAATCTCAGCACAAGAGAAAGGCCATCCCGGACTAAATATGTATCATTCCCCCGAAGGCCAAATAAGCATGGGTGAAACTAGGAAACGCTTTGCGGTTGCGGCTACAAATAGATTGGCGCAGCCATTCGAACTTCAAAGCTCTGGCGCGGGTTCCGCATTTGGATGGGCCCCCATCTTCTGCATGGATGTGTTCGCCGTCTTCTGTAACGAGCTGAGCTCTTAGTCTGCAGGTGCTATGGTCGGGTTTAAGTTGAGCCTAGACCACAACCTCTCCTGGTTGGGGCCGTTCATTGCACATTGGACCGGCCTTGACTCCTTCTGTCTATCGCGGGGCGGGCTCGGATATGCCGTGGTTCGACTGTTTCCAGTCGGGTTTTGAATGTGATGGCCGTGGGCATTGGGCCCTGGTTTCCATGTGTTGTACGTGGTCCAGCCTGGGATGAGAAGGGGTCCGTTGCGAAATGTCATACATACTGGGAAGTATGAGTAGTTCAGACTCGCGGAGTGGACTTTTGACTGGTTTATTGGCTACCTCAGTTCTACAGTAGGATGCTCCTGCTAGCGCACGGTCTGCCGAATCATACACAGCAGGCTTCCAGGCACCCAGACAATATCAATATAGTCTGTGCATACAGCGCATGCGCTAGCATAGTCTGCATCTAGGCAGCATTTCTCAGATTTGAGCAGCCATGACGGTTGAAATTCCCTCTCTCAAGCGAATCGGGACAAGCACAGGTCGTTCAATTGAGTTTGTTGTATCCGATGTTGATATGTGCGGTGTGGTCGTAGTCGATCGAACATTACCTTGGGTTCGATCGAGCTGGGTCCCGGGGATTGCAACCAAGATTCGCAATGAAGAACATCACCTTCTAGAATCATTCGCCACGCCCGTGGTTCGAGACCGGAAGGGGAAGTCTACAACACCGGGTATGATATGTTGGCACTTGTGGCCCACCGGCAATGATCACGATCTCAGGAACCGGAGATCAAGAATGCAAAAGAGAACCTTGGGATGATTTTGTACGGCCGAATGCAATTCAAGGACACCCTGCCAATGAGAGATGACAGTTTCCTCTTCCTGCAACCGTCTAAATATTTTGGCAATTCCACTTACAGTGCAGTGCAAGTAACGGAGAGTGAGGCAGTAGACACTAGACAGGAATCCTTCAAAAGCTGACAGATGCACAGTTTGGTAAGTTAGGTTAGGCACAACGATGCGATGGCCGGGAGAGGAATCTTGGCATCTCATCCGACCTTTTGTCCCTTTTTTCCTGACTCCGTAGATTTTTTTGCCAAAGCAAGTTGGCTAAAGAAGAAACTGAAACGGGGAAGGGGGAAGAAAAGAGATTTCCTTGTTCCAGTAAGATTTGATTAGTACCAGACCCACTACAATTGAAGGCAGTACCATAGATAGAAACACACGCCGCTAACTTGTGGTAATCGAACAATGTGATTTGTTCTAGTTCTCGACGGCCCTCGGCTAGCAGGAGCTAGATTGCCGCTAAGGAAGATGCCTTGGTTTCCGTCGACGCTGCGGGTTCCACTCCGAGCAAGTCGACTACTGTGAGTGTGTACAGATACAGTACTAGACACCCTCCCCCTCTTTGCCTTCGAGGCTCGGAGACTCATGCACTCTGTTCCATTTTATATATGCCAGATTTGGTGCAGCGCATTGCTATCGATCAACAATCTCTCTCCGGTAAATAATGGCATCGGGGGTTGAAAAAGGTGCGAAGGGGATGGATAGGAATTGCCACATCATACAGACTCATAGTACTCCGTACTCCGTAGTTGATTAAATGCCTGACGGAACATTAAGGCGTGTTTCATGGATGTTACTGCATGTAATAATTTAGCCTTATTGCCTTCCTTTCTTTTTGCGCCCTCTCTCACCCCTCCTCAATGTTTTGAATTCGATGTTGAACAAGAATAAGCCACCATCACGTTCACTATGTTATGCGCATTTGGGCTGTTTTATGAATGCAACCGGCGGACGGAGTTAACCGGTGAGCCAATACACTTTAAAAAGTCAATCTGAGACCATAACTCTATCAATCCATACTTTCTTCCTTCACAGTTTCATGTCAATGATCAAAAAGTCAGTGGCGAAATTCTCCATTGTACCGTGTGAATCAGGTGCAATATGCAGCATTGCTGGTCGCGGAGACAGCCGTTCGATTGCATCCCCAACTTGTTCTGCAAACAGAAAAGGTCCTCACGGATCCGGGCTCGGTATGGGACTTTTTGTCGATCCCTACTGCGGGTAGATTCTGTGGCATGCCGGCCTTCGACAAACACCGCCGCCCCCTTCCCGGTTGTTCCAGCGGCGAAATTCCCCTGAGAGATTATGAGGTAAATATTCATTAGAAAAAAAAAAAAAAAACAAATAGTAGCTAGCATCGCCGGAGTGATGGGGTTGAATGATATGATATTGCTGGAGAAATGGATTCTTTGGGAGATGAGCTGCAAGCTGAGAGATGAGGGTCGAAATTGGCTTTTCACGCACACACTCTCTCGCTCTTTCTTTCTGTCTATCTATCTATCTACCCTGGAAATGGGTATCGAAGCCTCTCGTCGAGAGATTTAAGCATGGAGGGTCCGTTTCGTACCACTTTCGAGTTGAGCTTGGGTAATCGGCCGCACCCAGGCAGGGTCTGGTCTGGAAGCACCGTCACCTATTTTAGGATGGTCGACGATCTTCAATGAAGGTTGCTTGCTTGAGCATTGACTGGACTGGTCTTGGGTGGTCGCACCTGATTGCCTAGACCTTCAGCTTCCCTCAGCTACGGACATCCAGTAGTTACAGTTCGGTTCAGGGGTCTTCTTGGGAAGTATAGTTGGGTGCTTTTATGCATGCATTGTGATAGCTGAACCCCCCACCTTCCCTACCATCCATCTCTCAGAAAAAGGCTGGGAAGTCGACGGAGGCAAGAAGATCGAGGATCCAGCTGGGTATATATTGATCCTCAATCCTCCCTGTTTTACCTTGGTTTCTAGCTTGTTACCAGAACCAGGTTAGTGGCGCAAAGCGCCGCGCCTGAAAATAAAATTCGGAACCGCCCACTTCCTGCGACCGCAACGGAGGCACACCCGCGTTCCCATTCGTAGTTTGCGTAGTTCTGGTGCAATGGCGCACTTTGGCTGTTCCAAGTCTATCGTTGGAGGGGCCCGCAGCCGAAGCCAGCCTAGCCAGTGTCTTAACTCTTAACTCTGCCGAAGAGCCTAGTCATAAACTGGCCAATCTCCCTGTCGCCGATTGCAGCGGACGAATCCCGGGCCTGACCTCGACCACCACCGGCGATGTGGGTTTCAGGCAGGGTGGATTATGAATGACGGGAGGATGTGCTGTGCTGCTGCTGCTGCACTGGTTTCGATGGCCGCTTGGTCGCATCATGGTTGGCCCCAAACCCACCATTGAGGTCTCAAGGTGGATGTGGGTAGTCGTGTCTCATCAAAATAAAATTGTTAAATCACTTAGAAACTTTTATGTACGATACTATTTCCTTAAACAACCCAAACAATGGCATAATCAGGATATTTCGATGGGCAGTGCGCTTGAATTGAACCCCGTTGTTTCCCCCTCCCCTCCACCACCCCCCCCCCCCTTTGCCCTCGTTCCTCAACACCCCCCTCTTCCGTCGTCATCGTCCTCGTCGTCGCTGTCGTCGGCGGCGCGCGGTCATACGTGGATCTGTCCGTAACCTAGTGCTGGTGGACACTAATTGCTGTGGGTGAAGGATAATTCCATGGATTGAACGCCTGGTGGGGGACTTGACTCGTCCCTGGTGAACATTCAGGGGTAAAAAAGAATGATATCGAGATGGAGAGAAATGGATTGATGACTGCGCTTATCAGAGATATCATGGAGGCTGGCCTGCTTTCGTCGGGGGGAGGAACTACTACTCTTAGCACCCTAGTTTATCGAGTGGTTTTATTGCCGGTAATTGCATATCCCAAGTACCAAACCTAGCCAAAATACAAACGAATAATAAACATGTCGAACCATTTAGCAGTAGGAAAACAAGCCAGAGAGCGCAAGAGGAACTGGAGAAGCGAAGCA